ACCAGCGGAAGGAGTCACCCTTTCTTTTTCTCGCCTCGTCTAGGTTGCCTCACTTTTTGAGTAGCCTCAGCGCCGGAAAGAGGCCAATGATGCCCGATGCCCCAGACCGTTTTCTCCGCTGGAGGCCCAATGGATTGGACCGACCCTCCCCCACGCACGAGGTAAAATGGGGTCTGGACAATGGATGGCCTTGTTTTGATCAGGGTCTGCCTTACAATATTGCAATCGGAGCAGGTTCTAGGCACCGCGCTAGCTGGAAAGAGCAGTCTACAGCTGCGATTTCCCAGGCGGAAAAAGATTCTCCGTGAGAGCAAGTGCGACTACCTTAGACATGCATGGATATAAGACTCAGCTTAGGGCAGGAGGCAGGGTCGCGTAAGCAATAAATGTTGCCCTTGGATTCCAGCTCGCTAATCCAACTACGCTCGTCCCGAGATGGGACGAGGCACGTTGAAGAATGCCACACCACAGTCAGTGAGTCCCTTGTCCCCCCTTCGGCTGAAATTGGTCTTTTCCGTTCAACAAATGAGGCAGGCTTGTGAGGCCGATTCCCCACCAATCACAGCGCAGGGCTAACATTGATGGGCATCCTCACACACTCTATGCGCTCAGCATAAACGGTAGTCTCCCAAGGGAAGAGCTAAAGTATTTATTGCTGGCGTGTCACTGCTGCTGCAGTTGGCAAGGGTGGGATTCGGATTGGAGGGTTGAGCTTGTTTCCCCCTAATCCCACCTACCAGATCCCCCGTTACACCATCTATGTATCTCATCTCAGTGAGGAACACAGATACCCGGGACTTGGGGAAATCTGTGCAGTGTCTAAAGTTTAAAAATAGGGTACCTTGAGAATGCACGCAATTATAGATCCAGCCCACGGGGAAGAGATTTCTCACATAGTATATGGGGTCAACGCTCTGGGGTTGCCAGCGCAGATGACTGACGGTCCACCGGGATCCAGGCCGTCTATGAAGCGCAGCCGGCTGTGCCATGTATGTATATAGCTCATAGTTCCATGAGACCTCATCTTCCCTCCCTCGCCATGATGAGAGGAGTGAGAAAATTACCTGGTTGGCATCGCTAATTCCAGCTCGGGGTGCGTCCCCCGAGACACCCGAGATCTAAAGTGGTCGGGTCGTGACCCCCGAGCGCTCCCCGAGCTAAATCTCGGGATTAGCACACCGACATGCATAATGGATCCCTGCATTTTGGCAGGGGCCGTCCGATGGCGCCTGCCATGACGCAGTGAGCCGCAAAATGCACGACACGTCCAGCTCGTGTCGTCGAATTGAAACACCACATCCGTCCATTCCTGTTCCTGGCCGGCTGGCAAAGCACCTGCAAAACCTTGTCAGCTCAGCCGCGGTGCCCACTCTTGAGTCCACACGGCAGTCCTGGTCTCCGCACGTGCTCCACGGAAACCCATCAAGATGCGAGCCTCGCCGACGTGGACCCGGCCGCTGTGCTTAGGGGCTGCCCCCCCACGGGAACAACGGAGAAGAGAAGTGAGAATGACAGATGACGATGGGAGTTTTTCTTCTTTCAGCGACTTCGGGGTTTTGTGCCGATCCCAGTGTTTGCGGATCATGTCTTTCCACGAATGAAAGTTGGATCAAACTCATAAGAAAACAGCTCATCTTGAAGTCTTGTCCGACCACAGCATAGACTTGACTGGCATCTTTATTCTTTGTTGTTGATTAGCCATTCTTTGTTTCTTAATACCTGCCATACCCATACCCCAAGCTCTCACAGCCCATACCTGCAGAGCTCCCAGGACAAGAAGAAACCCCTTACAAGGCGCCCTTTGCCGGAAGGCTTCCCTCGTCGTCAACCACCGCAGACTTCGCCATGGCCTCACGCTTACAGTCTCTGAGGCGCCCCCTCACTATCGCTGCTGCAACTGCAGTAGTAGGAGGGACTGGGCTTTACGCCTACTCCAACTCCCGCAAGTACACCATTTCTATGCCCATTGTTGAGGCCAAGCGCGACAGCCAAGGCCGAATCGTACCCCCCACCTTCCCAGCTATCAAAAGCCGCAAGGAGCAACTCGACGACCTTCGACGCCACGATGGCTCTTCCAGCGATGCCGAGTACGACCTTGTGGTTATCGGCGGCGGTGCTACCGGTACTGGTATCGCCGTCGACGCCGCCACTCGTGGTTTGAAGGTTGCTCTTGTTGAGCGCGACGACTTTTCTTCGGGTACCAGCTCCAAGAGCACCAAGCTGGTCCATGGAGGCGTGCGCTACCTCGAGAAGGCCGTCATGAACCTCGATTACCCCCAGCTCGAGCTCGTTATCGAAGCCCTTCGCGAGCGCAGGACATTCCTCAACATTGCCCCTCACTTGTCCAACTCGGTCCCTATTCTCCTCCCCCTTCAGCAGTGGTGGCAGGCACCTTACATGTGGTGCGGCACCAAGGCCTACGATCTCCTTGCCGGTTCCCAGGGGCTCGAAGGCTCCTACTTCATGACCAAGAGCAAGGCCTGGGCCGAATTTCCACTCCTCCGCAGAAACAACATGGTTGGCGCTCTGATTTACTACGATGGCCAGCACAATGACTCTCGAATGAACGTTTCCCTTGCTTTGACTGCTTCTCTTTACGGTGCTACTGTGGTGAACCATTTTGAGGTAACCAGCCTCGAGAAGGACGCCAACGGCAAGATTACAGGTGTCAAGGGCAAGGATGTTCTCTCTTCCCTGAACAAGGACGCAGACGGTGCTCAAGAATTCCAAATCCGTGCCAAGGGTGTGATCAACGCCACTGGACCCTTCGCAGACGCCATTGAGCATATGGATGACGGCAGCCGAAAGCCTCTGGTTTCCCCTGCCTCTGGTGCACATGTTATTCTCCCTGGTCGTATCTGCCCCAACGGCAAGGGTCTACTTGAAGCTGCCACTTCTGACGGCCGTGTTGTCTTCGTTCTCCCTTGGCAGGGGAAGACCCTCGCTGGTACCACCGACAATGCCTGTGAAGTTGAAAGAGAGCCTGTTGCTCTTCAGCAGGACGTTGATTTCATTTTGTCTGAGGTCAACAAATTGCTCCTCCCCGAAGCCGCTGTCAATCGCAACGATGTCCTCGCCAGCTGGTCCGGTATGTGACTCTCCTCTGTAGTAAAATTTACCGAGGATATCAACTAACTTTGACCCCAGGTATCCGCCCCCTTGTCAGGGATCCCAAGGCCAAGAACACCGAGTCTCTCGTCCGTAGCCATCTCGTCACTGTCTCCCCTTCTGGTCTCCTCACATGCGCCGGTGGCAAGTGGACCACCTACCGTCAAATGGCTGAGGATGCTGTCGACGAAGCCGTCAAAACTTTCAACCTCAAGCCCAGCTCTATTCCTCTCCCCGACATCAGCGGTACCGGTCTCCCAGGTTTCTCCACTACTGGCAAATGCTGCACTCTTACTACTCCCCTCATCGGTGCCCACGGATACTCACCTGAACTCGCCTCCCAGCTCATGTCAGTCCACTCTGTCGACGCTGATGTCGCTGAGCACCTTGCTATCAACTATGGCGACCGTGCTTGGGCTGTTCTCGCTACCAACGCCACCTCTCGAGTTGTTCCCACCCTTCCCTTCATCGAGGCCGAATTCCGCCACGGTGTTCGCTCCGAGTCAGCCTGCACTGCTGCTGATTTGATCTCCCGCCGTACTCGTATGGCTTTCCTTGACGTTGGGGCTGCCCTCAAGGCCCTTCCCCGTGTCATTGACATCATGGCCGAAGAGCTCAACTGGACTGAAGCCCGCAAGCAACTTGAGTGGACCCAGACTGTTCACTTCTTCAAGTCCATGGGTCTTCCTGAGGAGAAGCTCAATGTGACTAGGGAGGAGGTTCTCAGCAGCATTATCCAGGACATTCCCCCACACCACCAGCCCTCTCCTATCCGCTCTGAAGGCGGAGTCCAGGTTGGAGGACTTGGAAGCTTCGACGGCACCATCGCTGCCCGTAACATCACCCCCAACTAAAAGTCGACCACCAAATTCAAAATGGGGAAAGGTTGATAAACGACGAATTTGCATGTATAGGAGTGTATTAATTGATAGGGATATATGGCGTTGGTGGAATCATGATGAGCATAACTAGATTTTGAAGCATTGTCTTTCATACAAAAGCACACTGTGTGCTTTATAAGATTGTTATTTTACATATACCACAATACAGTTCTTTTTTTTCTTTCTGACCAGCCAGTAACAAGAACAAAGTTGCCTACTTAGTACTTGCTATGCTCGTGTCTCCATAAGCTCCTGCCACGCATCAGGTTAAAACACTCGTGGTGTTCAGAATCCACGCACATCAAACGTCACCAGATACCAATGCATTATCTAGGTATCTAGCAACACTTGTCGAGCGACCTAAGCAAAGACAAGAACAATCAAGAGGCTACAAAAAGAAGCAAAAATGAAAACCTACAACAGCCGGGATTCGCTGGTCGTCACCGACCCAGCTACTAATCGGCCCCTTGCGAGCTTAACGTACGGAGAGCAGACGGGATCCAGTGCTGCCTCGCAGGTATGGTCGTAGATATGAGCGGACGATGATATTCAGGTTATATTGGTGGGCTCTAGCTAATGTGGTGGCCGACGAGCTTCTCTCAGCTGACTAGCCTTGCGCCCCAGCCTTCCAGGCCTCTGTTTTCAAAGGCATACAAAACAATCGAGCCGAGGATATCAGTTAACAAATACCTACGCTAGGACCGAGGGACGTGAGTGACTCAGAGATACATATCTGACCAGCAAATTTGATCGAGCATTGATATTCAGACGTAGCGCTCCACTATTTCCAACCCTCGTAGATTCTAAATCCGCCTCTCCAACCGAAATGACAACAAATTCAAACGCCAACGTCTAGGTAAGATAACCCCTGAAATCCATGACCATCTATGCAAAGAGATTAGAAATCTCGCCAAAAACTGCAGAGTGGAGGTTATACAAAAACGTCGCCGCCCTCCTTTATTTGCACTTCACCTTTCATAAGTTTAGGGTAGGCTTGTTCGGAGTGCTGACTCATCCATTCTTCTGCTCTCTAAACCTCTTCCAAAACCCAAATTTCCCTTCTTCTTCATGATTACATCCAGTGTACTGCTGTTTCATAGTTTCAAGCAGAAGGCCAAACCATGTCGGATGCTCAAAGACGTCCTCAATCCTAATCTGGTAGCCTTGCCGTTGCATATGAGCGGCCAACTGGCCCGCATTGTGGGCATCACCACCGAGTTCAAAAAAGGTCTCGCAGGACAGATCACTAGGCACATCATGTTGTCCGAGCACGTCTATCCAAGCGCTGCCGAGGTCATCTCTTAATTTGCTCGGGCAGCTCTTCAGCATCATTATTTGCTCGCTAGTTGGTGGAGCTACATTTGTCCTTGCATCATCTGTTAGAGGCAGCAAGGCCAGCTGATTCTGAATGTCGCCTGGTGCCATCAACTTTGTGTCCATGTCTTTGTAGAACTCGGTGATGGTGCGAGTCAGATCCGAAGCGAGCTGATCTGCTAGACAAGGAGAGACGGCATTGTGGGCAAAGGTCAGGTCGATTTCTGTGCTCTCCGGGCCTGGCATAGACGTGATGTAGACCTCGACACTGTCAATGTCACCTGCCGACAGGTCTGAATGATCGAAATCTTTAACAGGGTCCTCCGCCTGGTGATTCTCATAATTCTGATGCACAATGACTGAGCTGAAATAGGCCCACTTGGGCCAACTTGTGCAGTTGCGAATGATGTCTCGGGAGCCCATTGTCTCGTATGGCATGCTGGCCACCTGCTGAGAATTGATGGCAGAGATGAGATCCCGGACCGTCCAGCTTTCTTGGAAGATGAGGCGGCAAGGGACAATATTAACACAGGGACCGAAAACGTCTTGCGTGCCTGGCTGGTTGCGACCGTGCACCAGGCTGCCAAAAACAACGTCGGCAGTTGCTAAGTGTTTTGCGAGGACATATGACCATGCCGCTTTCAGGACGGTGGCAAAGGTGAAGTCTCCAGACTGCAAATTGCGTGCCGGTATACGCTTGGCAATGGTTGGACCAAGCCCGTAGCCGAGACCAGGCGCCATCTGGCTTTTGATGGCTGTCCGTGTGCTTCCTTGCAGAATGTCTCGCCAATATTCTGCTGCGCTTTGCTTATCGACCAGGGATAAAGTATGCATATATTGAGAGAAACTCGACCCCGTGTTCGTATCATTACTCGAGGCTGAGCTATAGCACTCCTCGAAAGCGGACCACAGTCTGGCCAGCGCTGTTCCGTCATACTGGGCATGAGAAAGGCGAATCACAACGCGAGCCTTTTGCTCACGCGTTTGGTGAATGATGCGAATCTTGGTGGGTGCCTTTCCGAAATCCATCTTGCGCAGCAAGTCTTGCTTCTTTAGGTTCAATGTAAAGTCATTCAAACTCTCCTCTGCAGTCCGAAAGATGTCAACTTCTCCAACTGCCTGTGTGAGCACAGCCTGGAGGAACTCATCCTTGTACGCAAAAAAGACTGTTCTTAGCATATCGAGACGTCTGACAAGGCGGAAGCAAGCCTGATGAATTTCATCAAGATCGAAAGGATGGGGAAAATCGCGTGTGTGGTAGTACACGGAGCTACGAGCCGATGTGTAACTCGTTAGAAGATATCGGGTCTGTTGATCGGTAACAGGGAGAATGTCTTCCACATTGTCTGTTGAGACACCGAGATCAAACAGGATCTGCTCAATTGCCGGTCGGCTCTCTGGGAGCAAAAGTGAAAATCGTTGGTAACTCGGTGCAGAAACAGCTGACCCATCGTCCCCATTTCGCAGATGCAAGGCCATGTGTGATAGTTTTGGATTGTTGAGTATGTCAGCAACAGAGAGCTCGTACCCTTCGATTCGGGCCTGAGTGGTGAGCTTCATAGCGAGAATGGAGTCACCGCCAAGTTGCAGAAAGCTATCGTCAGCACTAATTGAATCGGCGTCAACACGGAGAGTGCGAGCCCAAACTCTCTGCATGCTTAGCTCTGCCGCTGTCGATGGCGGCCGGCGTTCTTCCTGCGACTGTGCCGACCCTGTAATCTCCGACATTGTCATGCTCTCCCCTAATGATCGGAGTTGCTTGCGGTCCAACTTGCCGGTCGCAGAGAGTGGTAGCTTATCGACCATAATATAAGCTGACGGAATCATGTGTCTAGGGACCTTGGAGGCAAGACGGTCATTGACACCCTTCGTCAGTGCCTGCACTTCCGACTCGAAATCTTCAAACTGCCGGGATGACTGTATGAACGCAGCCAACATCGGCTTGTCACCATCACTGGGGATTACTATCTCAGCGGCAAGCTGGACTTTGATTTCAGTCCCGAGGCTGGCTGCGAGATTGTGTTCGATATCGCCAAGTTCCAATCGTTGGCCGTTGATCTTGATCTGGCCGTCTTTTCGACCGATAAATGTGAGGCTCCCGTCAATGTCATACTGAACGAGATCACCAGTCCTGTATACACGCCCACTGCGGCCTCGATGGGCAGGCCCACCGTGGAGCAGCCAGGGCGGATTATCAATAAAAACCTCTGCAGTCTTTGCAGAGTCATTGAGATATCCGGATCCAACAAGCGGCCCTTCCAACACCAACTCGCCTACTGTGCCTATTGGGGCCAATTTGAAGGGGTCTGAAGGGTCGACAACCCAAGTACACAGACCAACACCACGCCCAATGCTGGCCGCTGAAGACGAGCCGGATCCGTCAACCTCAGCCACTGTGGCCTTGACTGTGCATTCTGCCGGACCGTACATGTTGAGCACCCGTACATGCTTTGACCACTGCGAAGCCTGGTAATTGGAAAGCGCCTCCCCAGCAAATACAACGGTCTTCAGGCTGCCCAAGTCCGACGGTCGTAGTGTGCTTGCCACAGATGGTGTAATGTCTATGAAATTGGCATCATATGCCAGGACTGAGCCAGGAATATCATCAATAGCCTCTTCCTGCGAGGGAATACAAAGGCAACCGCCAGCAGCCAGTGTATGTATAAAATTGGACCAGCTGATATCGAAAGCATACTTTGCAAAGTCATATACACGTGATGATCTATTGAAGCCTGTAATGGCTTGTTGATGGTGAATGGCGCTCATAAAGTTGGAATGAGTAACCATTGCACCTTTTGGAACGCCAGTGCTTCCCGATGTAAAGACGAGATAAAGATTGTTCCATGGCTCAACTTGTGGGAGTGTCTTGTGCAAAGGATGTGTGTAAAAGTCTTTTTCGTAGTCGTCGCCCAAGACTACCATGGTTCGACTCGTCAACTGCTTTGCGAGCTCCTGGCTTGACGACGAGGATAGAATCAGAAGCGGATCAACTTGCTGCAAAACAGTGCGGAGCCGGTCTTGAGGCAATGTGGTATCTAAAGCCACGGAGGCACCTCCCGCTTTCATAACAGCAAGCATCGCTACAGGCATCCAGCGAGACTTTTCAAAGCAAAGAGGTACAATAGCACCAGGGACAACGCCTAGCGTTAGAAGTCGATGGGCGATGCGAGTTGCAATCGACTCCATTTCCTGATATGTCCAGTGGCCATCCCACGCGCAGACTGCCGGTGAATCAGGATGCTTGGAAGCGTTCTCGGCAATCAAGTCATGCACAGTGTGGTTGATGGTCTCAGGCACGACTGCGTTCCATTGCCAAATCTGTTCCAAGTCCCTGGCACTGACGATGTTGATGTCGGCAAGCTTGCACCCTTCCAAGTCTGGGTCGCACAGCTGACGTAGAATCACGTCAAACTGAGCCGCGAGTCTCTTCACCTGGACCTTTTGGATGACTTGAGAGTCGAATCTAATGCGAAGCAACGCGCCGGTCGGCTCAAGATCGCACTCAATCGTGATGGCATGTGTATCAAAGTTGGAAAAAGAATCATCATCGGTCTCGTCTCCATTCACAAGGCCATCGCTTTCGACTTCATCATCTGTGTCAAGGAAAAGAGGACTCGTGGACTTGGTTGGCTGCTCAAATGGGTGGATGAGCAGCAGTGTTTGAAACTCGCAGGCTTGTTTGGCAAAATCGTTGACTTTCTGGATTTTCTGCAGACCAGTCTGTTCAAAGGCTGTCATATCGACAACTTGGCCCTGTATTTGCTGCAGAAATTGGTTCACGGTGCTTGCTTCATCAAGCGCTACCTTGATCGGTACTGTGGCAATAGTTGGACCTGTCATGCTCTCGACCCCTGGGACTGGCGCTTGGCGACCAGTGACAGTCGCACCAAAGAGGGCATGTGAGTGATCAGAGTAGCCTGCGATAAGGATGGACAGCGCCGCACGTATAGCAGTTGATGCTGTCGTCTCCGTCTTTGGCCACGCTATATCCTTGATGTGATACGAAACTCCGCTGTCCGAGCGAGGCTGGTAGATGGGCGAGGGTAGTGATGGGAATGATGGAGCCTGGATCTGTCCGAATTGTGATGTCCAAAACTCATCAGCAACTTTGCCATCACCTTGGCCGATAAACTTGACAAAGTTTTGGAACGGGGGTGGTGTTTGCAAGACCGTTCCATTGTATGCCGTCTCAAGTCTCTCAAGAACAACTGGCATTGACCAGCCATCATACAAGGCGTGGTGTACAGTCCAGATGAAAGAGTATCGGCCATTTGAGCTTCTGGTTATGTCATATCGCATGAGAGGTGTGCCCAAGCCCATGCCCAGCTGCTTGTCATTTTCCTGGTAAACAACAGTTCTGGTGATTTCTGGCCACGCAACAGATTCGTTTGAGATAATCGCTTGAGTCAGACCTTGGAGACCAATATCGACAATGCGTGTTCGCAGAATAGGCGTTGTTTCCAGAACATGCTCCCAAGCCCGTCGGAAGAGAGTGATATCAATGGTAGATCGAAGTTGGAAAGTGTTTTGGGCGACATAGTCTCCTGGTCGTCTCAAAGTTAGAGCCATCAGCCCTTCCTGCAAGGGCGTGCAGGGAAATGCGTCTTCAACGCGTGCAGCGTCCACGTTGCAGAGCCGAGAAATCTGGGCCCGTATCTCGGATGAGGTCTGATCTCCGTGCAGCAACGAGAATGGAGCGGAGATTTCAGGTTGATTGGTGGCTGAGCTTCGAATGGTCTTAGCAAGATCAGTCAGGCGCGGATGTTTGAATATGTCAGTCACCGTGACTGAAAGCCCACAGTCACGCGCCAGACCAGCAAGCTTCATGGCACCAATAGAATCGCCCCCAAGGCGTAAGAAGCTGTCATCGCTGCCGATAGATTCACAAGGTAATCCGAGGACAGTGGACCAGAGACTTTGGAGCTGAATCTCCCGGGATGTCGTTGGTTTCCTTCTTGCCCCCTGCGTCGGACCATGCGCCATGAGTTCGACTCTTTTGAGTTGCCCGGCCATGACGCGGAGCGAGCGTCGATCCGTCTTGTCCGAAGGTGTCATTGGTATACTTCCAAGCAACATGTAAGCAGTGGGTATCATGTATGCAGGCACCTGGGCCGCGAGTCTGTCAAGAAGACCAGCAGTGATCTCGTCCAAGTCTGGAGACACTTCCCCCTCCCAGGCTAAGAAAGCGACAATCATCTGTTTCTCGCTGTCTTGAGGCTTCACCAAATCTACAACTACTTGAACATCATAATTAGAGGTGATACTGGACCGGACGTAGTACTCAATATCACCGAGTTCCAGACGTTGACCGTTGATTTTGACCTGACTGTCTTTTCGGCCCAGAAAGGTCAAGTTCCCGTCTGGTAGATAGCGAACAAGATCTCCAGTCTTGTATAAGCGTCCCTGGCGTCCGGCATGGCTCGTGGAGCCTCGGAGTAGCCAGGGCGGGTCCTCGATGAAAGAAGCAGCGGTTCTCTCCGCATCATTGAGATAACCAGGACCAACTAGCGGGCCTTCGAGGAGCAACTCACCAGTGCTCCCAAGTGGTGCAAGAGAGTCTCCTGCAGTACTCACAACCCACGTGTTCACGCCAAGTCCGCGGCCAATGCTAACCGCTTCAACGTTTCCCGAGTGAATATTTGCCGCTGTGGTGGTAGGCGTACATTCACACGGTCCATAACAGTTCTGGACATTTTTCACCATGCTAGACCAATATCTGGCCAATTCGGGTGAAAGAGGCTCGCCACCGAGGATCAATGTGTCCAGTCGCTTTAATATACTGGGCGGAAGAAGCTGGGCGGCTGAAGGGGTCAGGTCCACGTGAGTGACCTGGAATCTCTCTAGTGATCCAGCCAGATCACTCTGGCGTTCAGCATTCGATGGAATGCAGAGAGTGGCACCGCACGCAAGAGCGCTCAGTACATTCGACCAACACTGGTCGAACGTGTAGGATGCAAAGTCATAGACTCGGGAGCCAGTCTTGAAGTTGTACATGCCATCTTGATAACGGAGGGCACTGGCAAAATTCGAGTGACTAATAGTCACGCCTTTTGGGGTTCCGGTACTGCCAGAAGTGAAGACAACATACAGCGTGTTGGAGGGCACCGCACCAGAGATGGCTGTTCCCGCATCGAGTGGTGCTTCCAAGCGGGCCACATTCGTCTCTTCGACCACAAAGATAGGCTCTTGGCTTAAGGGTCTGATAGTATCGTGGCTAACAGACGAACTGAGGATGATAACCGGTGAGACTTGTTGCAAGATAACTCGTAATCGTTCTTGAGGAAGAGTAGAGTCCAAAACCACGCTCGCGCCACCAGCCTTCATAACAGCAAGCATCGCCACTGGTACCCAACGAGACTTTTCAAAACAGAGCGGAACTATCGTTTCAGGACCGACCCCAAGACGGGCTAATTCATAAGCGAGTGTAGTAGACAGGTTATCCAGCTGCTGATATGTCCAATCTCCATCCCAAGCGCAGATGGCCAAGGCAGAGGGAAACTTAAGTGCCGTCTCAGATATCACATCGTGTGTCAAGGACTCCACTGTCTCAGGGACAACAGAGTTCCAATTCCACATCTGCTCAACATCATCCTGGTCAACCATCCTAATATCGGCGATGGTGCCAAGCAATACCTTTTCATCAACGAGAGATGTGACAATGGTCTTCAAGAGCGAAATGGCACGCTTAGCTTGTTTGTCTGTCAAACAAGATTGGCGATAGTCCAGTGAAAATGATACCTCTTTCTTGCCATAACTAATATCAAAAGAAATGTCGTACTGCGAAACACATCAATTGTCAAAATCATGGACATTCGTTTTTTTTCACGTATGAAACAGACTTACCTCAATAGGATCTTCAGAATCCATATCAATGAACACCAGTTCTCCGATGTTGATACTGTCCTGCGTCTCAAAATCATCCTTTTGAAAGGAAACAATGGTGTTGAATAGAGAAATACCGGGCGCAAGCTCGAGTTCGTGCTGTATATCAGCGAGAGAACAGTGCTGATAGTCCAAGTCTTCCAAGAATTGCTCATGAAGCCGCTGGACGAGCTGGTCTGGAGTCCAAGCACGCGATATATTGGCACAACAAACCATCATATTGGCAAAAGCATTGACGGAATCCCCAATCCCATCAACCTGCAGATCGCGGCCCGATGCAATATATCCGTAGCATACAGCATTGTTGCCAGTGTAACTTGATAGGAGCAGCGCCCAGGCACTCTGGAATATGCTCGCCGGAGTAACGGAATGGAATTCACAGAAATGCTGGATCCGCGAAAAGTCGTCTCCGCCAAGGTCGACACTGACTGTGGCAGTGCCGGTAAAAGAAGATTCAGACAAGCGAGGAAAGTGACAGGGCTCAACTTCCGCTAGCTTGTTCTTCCAGTATGTCATTTTGTTTTCCACCGCGCTGGTCTTTAGAGCCTGGGCCAACCTGCGATTTGGCCCATTTAGAATTTCTGTGCCCAGAATTCCGCTGTAAGCCTTGGACCAGTCACCCAACATGATGGCTGTAGATGCTCCATCGACAATGGCGTGGCTCATATCGATCTGGCAGATGGTTGAGCTATCCTCCACAACTTCGCAGACAACGAGACGGCAGGGCGGCTTTGTTCTTCCATGGCTGATAATGGGCAACTGCCGGATCAAGGCCACAGCCGCAGTCTTGGTTGAGGCTTTGAGTACCACAACCTCCCCTCGATGCGTCTCTAGCACAATCTGAGCAAAGGCCGACTTCTTGTCGATACCTTCGACAAAAATGCTGCGAAGGGCTGGATGGCGCGCAATAACGGCTTGCCATGCCTCGATCAGTATATCACTATCGAGGCGCTTCTGGGTAGCCTGTATCTCATACATGATCGACGTCATGTATGTTTCAGGATTTCGAATCTGACTGAGCAGCATGCCATCGACCATGGGCGAGCAAGGATAGATGTCGCCAACAGTAGTGGCAAGCTCAGATTGGAGGGATGGAAGAATACGATTTTGCAACTCGTCTAGACCGTTGTAATCTAAGTCCAGAAACTCGTAATCTGCAATCGTGAGCGAAGGCTTCGAAGCCAACAGGGATCTGCAAAGGGTCTGCATAGACGGAACAACTCGGGCGACCCAATCTCGGATGAGGTGTTGGTGACTGATATGCTGATTCCAAGAGAAGTTGAACTTGATAAGATCATCTACGATGGAGACGTCGATACTAAAGAGTGCAGAGGCGGGCAGCGCAGAGCCAACATCAGAAACACCATCAAATGTGACACTCTCAAATAAAGAATCAGTTGACTCGATCTGCTGGAACTGGCCGTGATAGTTGAATAGCACTTCCATGACGTTGTCATGAGAGCCAAAGGCTTTGATACCCTCATCGTTGAGATAGCGTGAGGTGAAGTAGGCCCAGCCATTTGATGGGAGTCGCCTCCGTACGTCTTTGATCACCCTCGCATTGTTACTCGCCGTTTCTTCGCGCGATAGATGCATCGGTGTCATTGTGGTGAACCAACCAACAGTACGGGACAAGTCAATGTCACTGCTCCAGGGTTCTCGCCCATGCCCTTCGTTGAAGATGGTGAGGCCGCTACGTGTCTTAAAGGTGTCAAAGAATGCATTCCAAACTGACGCCAGAATCAAATCAACCGGCTCTGTGTTAAAAGCCCTGTTGGCTTCTGTGAGCAAGACTGCAGTTGTCGCACGGTCAACCTCGAATGATTGCTCCATGTGATCGTCAAAGGTGTTTGGGGTGCTTGGAGTGTAGTTCCAGAATCCAAGGTCGTTGCGCCCGTCATTGAACAACACCTTCTTTGGCGTGTAATTGGGCCCTTGAACTTCTTGTCTCTGTAGATTCTGCCAGGCTTGGAACGGCAGCTCTTTATGAATGTTGCCACCGTTGAGCAGAACCTCCAAATCATCCAAAATGATGCGCCACGACACCAAGTCGACAACCAAATGATGAGCAATAAGTGAAAGGTACTGGTCACTTGACGGAAGGGTGAACAAGTCCGCCGCAAAAACCAATCCTTTCTCTATATCAAGCTCTTGGTGACGCTGAGCTACAATAGATTCAACAATAGCAAGAGACTCCACCTGTGAGGATGCAAAATGGTAGACAGCGTCGCTGGAGTTTGGAACTAGCTGCGTCCACAAACTTGTCGTCTTATCGAATGAGAACCGTGCCGATAACATTGAATGCTGGTGAACAAGACTGCGGATGGCATTGGACACATCGTCAGGCCGTACCTGGCGCTTTACTCGAACATAAAAGGCCTGGTTGCTGTAGTAGGCTGTTGTATTTACCTTTTCAGGTGGGCACTGCCTGAAGAACCACTGTTGTATTGGGGAGAGGTCGAAAGGCTTGTCATAGTCTTGCTCACAAGATAAAGAGGGTCCCTTGGTAACGGTTGCCGATTCGGCTGCGCCGACGAGCGTCTTGCTTCTAAGCAGCGAGGCGACAGAAACAGCGATTCCAGATGCTCGACAGAACGGGCTGATTTGCATGGCAGAGATAGAGTCACCGCCATTGGCGATCAAAGACCGCTGCATGTTGATGTGGCTGGCGGGGATACTGAGAACGTGGCTGCATGCATCTCGAATCACTCTCTCTGCGGTTGTTACTGGGTCACAGGAAGATGAACCTATACTAGATATTCTAGTGTATGTTTCCGCATCGAGCGTACAAAGCCAGTTGTCGAGCACTTTTCGGTCCAACTTGCCTGAAGGATGCAAAGGGATGTTTTTCAATGCCACCCAGACAGTTGGGACCATGAACGCAGGAACTGATTGGTCCAGCAAACATTGCAAGGACGCGATACACGCTTGTACATCCTCAGACTTGTCTCTTGGCATGAGATGTGTAGTGATACTTCTAATGTCACTACCGCCCTCGCAGATCCCGTCAAGACTAATCACACCAACAAGCTTGCCGGTGTAGTGCCCAGCTTCGGGAACCAGGCAAGCCGCCTGACGTACCGACGACAGACTCAGCATGTGATACTCAATCTCTTCCAGCTCCACGTGCTGGCCTTGGATTTTCACCATGGCATCTTTATGAGCAACAAAGACCAATGTGCCATCTGCATTGTAGCGGAATAGATCGCCAGTTTTGAAGAGCTGCCCTGTGCGACCTGGATGGTTCAGAGCATCACAGCCACGGTTGAGCCATGGTGGATTATCAATGAAAGCTGCCGCCACATCCCCAGAATTGCCTCCATGACACGTGCTCATCAAAGGCCCCTCCAACACAAGCTCGCCGACGCTCCCGATGGGCACAAGTTTCCCGCCGTCTTGAGAATCAACAATCCAAGTGTTCACACCAAGACCTCTTCCGATGCTTGGGTCACTGGCATCCTCCTTGCGGATAGTGCCTACGGTAGCCGTCATTGAGCTTTCGCAGAAACCGTACGTTAGCTTGAGGTCTACCAATGAACTCCACCTTCTGGCCATGTCCGCGGAAAGACGTTCTCCGTCTAGTATCAAGGTTCGTAGTGACTGGGCGCAGCTTTCATCCAAACTAGCCGCATCGGACACGGTAATGTTCAATATTGTCGGCTGCCAATGGAATATTGACTGAGTCATCGAACTCTCCTGTTCTTGTTCTGAAGGAATACAGAGGCTAGCGCCACTTGTAAAGGTATGTGCAAACACTCTCCAGGTTATATGAGACGCATATGGCATCAAATCGTAAACTCTGGAGTTGGGCTTGTATCCTAAGGCACTTTGCTGGTACTTTACAAGGCTGGAAAGGTTGGCATGGGTGAGGATAGAGCCAAAGAGCAAACCAGCCTTGCTCGTGGCAAAGACAAGGCAGGCCTGGCTTGCTGATTGACTAGTAGGTAGAGAGGTAGTAGAATCTTTAGGTAATGTGTCGAGGGTAGTGTCAGTAATGACCATTACTGGACGATTTGAGAACTTGCACGTGAACTTTTTGGTCAAGTTCGAGATGACCAAGAGAGCGGGATTTGACTTGTCCATAATAAAGTCAAGAATATCCCCGGATAGGGATGTATCCAGCAGAACAGAAGCTCCGCCAGCTTTCATGACTGCCAATATGGCAAGGGGCGTCCATCGCGACTTTTCGAGATACAAAGCAACAACAGTATTGGGCCCAACGCCCATATTGATAAAATGATGAGCGAGCTGAGTAGCGTTATGGTCTAGTTCGTGATATGTCCAGTTGCCATCCCATGCATTAACAGCACACGATTCAGGCTGGCTTTGAGCCGTCTTAGCAATGAGTTCATGGAGGCATGTATCTGCAGCCTCAGGAAGAGCCGAATTCCATTCCCAAACCGTTTGCAGGTCTTTTCCGGCTAGCCTATTAATGCTGCCCACCAAGTTCTGCTCGTGTTGAAGATCGTCGTGACTCACTATTTGGAGGACCGTCTCTCTGAGCAACGCCACGATGCGGTGCGCTTGCTCATTGCTAAACCCAGACGGCATACAGTTGATGAACAGCTTCACCAACTCGGCACTAAATGTTATGCTGATAGAAACATCATACTCCGTGGGGTCGTCCCCGTCAGCGTCGATGAAGTCCAAGTCTCGGCTGATGGTCCCGACATCACCGGCATCTTTTTGGAAAGACATGATGGTGTTGAACAGCTGCTGCCCGGAAACAATTCCTAAATCATGCTGAATATCCGCCAAAGAGCAGTGTTGCCATTCCATGTCCTCCAAGACTTGATGGTGGAGAGACTGGACGAATCGTTGTTTAGTCCAGTCTGGTAAAATGTCTGCGCGACATACAAGCATGTTTGCGTATGCGCCAATAGCTTCCCCAATTCCGGGGACGTCAAGGTCTCTGCCTGATGCGACGTAGCCGAAACAGACACTCTGCATGCCTGCATACGATGCCAATGTGAGAGCCCAGGCTGAATGGAATAGACTGGCCGGCGTAACTGAGTGAGACTCGCAAAACCTTTGCACAGAAGCGAAATCTTCCCCGTCTATATCAGCAACTGACCACGAAACTACTTCCGAAGGCTGCGATATCTTTTGTAGAGGCGGAAATAAACAAGGCTGAAGGCCGTTCAACTTCTTCTTCCAATATTTCTTCTTGCTCTCTGCTAGATTGGCATTCAAAGCACGCGCAAAACCGCGACAGGTCTCGATTAGGTTATCCCTGCGCAAGATACCGGCATAAGCCTTGGCCCATTCTTCAATGACGATACTAGTTGATGCACCGTCTGTAATTGTGTGACTCATTTCCATTCGACAAAAGATACTGTTCGTATCCATGACTTTACAAAGCGTTATACGGTGAGGGGCTCTGAGTTGCTGGTATTTCGCCTTTGGAAGATTCCGCAGTAGCGCTTGCGCAGCTTGCAGGTTGTCACTTTCGAGCAGCACGATGTCACTCTCACACTCCTCAAGGACGACTTGGTTGTGCGCGGAGCCCGAGTCTAGACTCTCGATGAAAATACTCCTCAGAGATGGTTGGCGGGCAATCACATCTCGCCAAGCAGAAGACAACCGGTCCACGTTGATAATACGAGAGCCTCGCGGTCTAATCTCATAAAACTGAGAAGTTTCATAGAATCCAACCCCTTTGGATTGGCTCAGAAGCATTCCTTCTACCATTGGAGAGCAGGGATAGATATCCTCTACTCTTGTACCGTTTAGTTTCTCGATTTCAGGAATGACGCTTCTTTGCAGCCGGTCCAAGCCCTCGTAGTCCAGATTTAGAAACTCAAAGTCCACGAGTGTTCGTTCCGTCGGCTTGGACACTAGCGTCTCGCACATGGACTGTAAACAACTGCCAATCCGATCAACCCATTGGTGGATAAGATCCTGCTTGCAGATGTGTTTGTTCCATGCGAATGAGACATGAGTCTCTCCTCCCTCGATAGACATGTTGATGTTGAACAGCGAAGAGGCGGGGAGGTCCGGCCCCACGTCAGATACATTGTCAAGTGCAATGCTTCTGAAGAAAGAACCCTCGCCTTCCAGCTGCTGGAACTGACCATGATAGTTGAAAACCATCTCCATTGTAGAATCGTGGGAACTGAAAGCATCGACCCCTTTGCTGTTCAGATACCTCGAAGCGAAGTAAGCCCATCCATTGCCGGGCTGTTTCCTCCTTGCATCCTTGACAAGTCGAACAATGTGCGCAAGGTTGCTACCTATGTTCTGTCGTGAGATGTGTATCGGGCTCATTGTGGTGAACCAGCCCACTGTTCGAGATAGATCAATCTCAGCACTCCAGGGCTCACGGCCGTGCCCCTCGTTGAAGACTGTGAGGCCATTTCGCGATGGAAAGGTGGAAAAGAATGCGTCCCACAATGCTGAAAGGAGCAGCTCGACGGGTTCAGTGTCAAAGGCGTAATTTGCATCCTTGAGGACGAGTGATGTGGTGTGCTTATCGATTTTGAATGATCTTTCGACATTGTCACATGTGGCGTTTGGAGTCTCCGAGGTAAAGCCCCAGAAATCCAGATCATTGCAGACACCTGCCGTGGACAAGACATGCTGCGGGTCGAACCTGGAGGTTTTTGCCTCCTTCTGTTGCAGGGCACTCCAAATCTGGAACGGCAAGCTTGGCGGCAGAGTTCTGCCTGTGAGAAGAGTTTCCAAATCGTCTAGAATAATCCTCCAAGAGACGAGGTCAATGACTAGGTGATGGGCTACCAGGACAAGATATTGCTCATCTGCGGCAAGTTGACAGAGATCGGCAGAGAATACCAGGCCCCGCTCAATGTCTAGAAGCTGTTGACGACGTCCGGCGAGAGATTGCATCTCTGTCATTGAGTCTAGCTTTACAATGGCAAAATTGTATATCGCCTTATCTGTTGGAGGGATAGTCTGCGTCCATACAGTGTTTTGCAGCTCGAAGCGGGCACGAAGCATTGAATGAAAGTCCACGAGCTTTGCAAACGCGTTGCGGATATCCTCTGGATCGATTTGTTGGTTGATGCGAACGTAGAACGACTGGTTACAATGGTAACTTGGCGTGTTGACGAGGTTATTGGGAGACTGGTTAAAGAACCATTGTTGAATTGGCGCCAGGGCAAATGGTTTGTCAAATTCTTCTGTGCTGTGGAAGAGCTCTATGTCTGTAGCAGCAGAAGAGAGATTAGCCACCTCAGCCAAAGTCCTGGACTTGAGTAAAGTGGCCACAGAGAAGACTACGTTTTCGGAACGGCAGTATGGGCTCAACCGCATAGCCGATATAGAATCTCCTCCATTTGATATGAAGGAGCGCTGAAAATTGACTTCAGAGGCTGGCACGTTCAAAACAAGGCTACAAGCATCCCTTAAAACTCGCTGGGCTTTCGTATCTGGTTCTTGGCAAATAGCGACATCACCAGTGTTGAACAGCTTGGCATACATCTCTTGCTCCATTTCATTAAGCCACAATTCAAGCTTCTTACGGTCTAACTTGCCAGATGGATTGAGAGGAATGTCCTTCAAAGCAATCCACTTTGTGGGAACCATGTAGGAAGGTAAAGAGCTCTCAAGGGTATTCTCCATACCTTCAATGTGACCTTGAATAGTAGCAGTAAGGTTTTCAAGCGTCATTTCAGCGCTGGGCGGCGAATCCAAAGACGTGGAGTCCTCCGTGAAGCTCAAGCTACTGGAAAGACTGCTTTCGGACAATGTCGAGCTGGTGGCAAGAGAAGGCGATAGTCGATACCGGTCGGCGTCAAGTTGGTCACGACTAGGCTGCTTATTCTGGACGCTGAAGATGCAGACGAGCGTGTTGGCCCAAGGCCCCGATTTGGGGAACAGACACACTGATTGTCTTGTCAGGTGATGGCGCACGACGTGGTTTTCTATATCACCTAGTTCCACACGTTGGCCATGAATCTTGACTTGAGCATCCTTGCGCCCAACAAAACTGAGAGCACCGTCTTCGTCGTAGTAGACCAAGTCACCAGTCTTATACAAACACCCGTCACGGCCGGAGTGGCCTGGAGCTCCTCGGGTAAGCCAGGATGGGCTGTTGATGAAGACAGAAGCAGTCTTTTCAGCATCGTGGAGATATCCAGGCCCCACAAGTGGTCCCTCGAGCATCAACTCACCGATGCCTCCTATAGGCACCAAGGACTCGCCAGTTATAGTGTCTACGATCCAAGTGTTGACACCTCTTCCTGTGCCTATGAGCGCTGCGTTGGGATTGATCGGGTCTACATCAGCAACGGTAGATGTCGGCGTACATTCGCAAGGACCGTATGAATTCTTGAGGTTCACGAGCGGCGCCCACTTTTTGGCGCACTCATCTTGCAGCCTCTCACCTCCCAAGATCAAAGTATCGAGGGACTTGAGGGTTGCCATAGGTAGCACCTTGACGGTTGAGGGCGTTAATTCACAATGAGTAACCCCGAATCGTTGAATCGAACCAGCCAGATCATCCCGTCGCTCAGCCTCTGATGGAATACATAAACAGGCGCCACAGTCAAAGGCTGCTAGCATGTTTTGCCAAGATGTATCAAATGCATAGGACGCAAAGTCGTAAACTCGCGCATCAGGCCTGCTGTCAAACCTGTGAGCGCTGTGCTGGTGGAGCAGAGAGCTGCTGAAATTGGCATGCGTGATCCGTACGCCCTTGGGAATGCCAGTACTGCCCGAGGTGAAGACAATGTAGAGCGTGTTTGACGGCCGCACTTTGGGTAGGGCATCTGGGTCGGGCACCCCCAGTGAAAGTAACAGCTTTTCATCAATCACAACTACAGGCTTGCCAGCTGACAGGTCGGTGGCCACCGCCTCGTTTTCCAACGACGAGAGCACAAGTGTTGGCTTGACCTGCTGCAAAATGCTCAAGAGTCGATCCTCAGGCAAGTTGGGATCCAGCATAACACAAACTCCGCCAGCCTTCATGACACCAAGCATTGCAACTGGAGTCCATCTTGACTTCTCAAAGCACAGAGGAACATTGACTTCTGGTCCTACTCCAAAATGCAGTAGATGATCAGCTAGACGTGACGACAAGCCGTCAAGTTCCCCATAACTTAGATTGCCATCCCAAGCGGATATGGCAGGGGCTGTGGGCTGTTTCCGAGCCTTTTCGATGATTACATCGTGCACAAGACCCTGAACCGTCTCCGGCACAGTAGCGTTCCACCCCCAGATATCTTCAAGATCCCCCTTGTTGATCAGCTCCAAGTCTCCCAATAGCCTCTTTGCTTGATTCGGGTCACACAATAGCCGCAGAACATGCTCCATCTGTGCAGCCAGCCTTTCAATCCGACGCTGAGTAAGGATGTTGCGATCAAACTCGATCCTCAGGTTCAGACCACGTTGCGACAGATCACATTCAATTGTGATGGCGTGTGTATCAAACTCTGATAGTTGGACCTCCTCATCATCTCCATCACTGCCTTGACCCTTGGGGGCAAATATCTGAGACTCGGAATGCGCTGCCTCCTCTGGAGGATGTATGAGCAACAGTGTTTGAAAGTCGCAAGCCTGCTTCGCTTTGGCGCTCATTTGACGAATGTTCTGCAACCCCGTCTGCTCAAATTCGGTAATTTCCACGGATTGAGCTTGAACCTGTCCAAGACAAGTCTCTACAGTCTGTTCCCAATCCAAGACCACTCGGACTGGCACGGTTGCGAGTGTAGGACCCGTCATCTCGTCCACTTGCTCGACATCAGCCTGCCGACCGTTCACTGTAGCTCCAAAAACCACATCACTCGAGTTTGTGTATTTCGCCGCTGAGATAGCCCATGCTGTGCGAATGGCCGTGGATGCTGTGATGTCGCTCTTTGGCCAATCTAGGTCGCTAACACAATGGGAGATGGATGAATTGGCAATTGGCTGATACGCGGGCGACGGCAAAGAAGGGAACACTCGGGCCTCGGATTTCTCAAACTGCGCCTGCCAAAAACTCTTCGTGCGTTCCTCGTCAGTGCTCATAATGTGTTGAACAAAGCGTTGGAAAGGAGGAGCCTCCTGAAGAGCCACCTCTCCCTCGTATGCCACTTCCAGCCTCTCTAGAATGCGCGGCATAGACCATCCATCATAGAGGGCATGATGTATCGTCCACACGAAAACAGAACGTTGCTTGTGATAAGGCTCGTAGATGACGGCGTATCGAATAAGTGCCTTGCCCAATCCCATCATGAACTTCTCGTCTGATTCACGATACTCCTGGACACTGGAGCATTGCGCCCAAGCCACATCTTGCTCTAGGATAGCCTGGAGTAACCCTTGGCCTGGCAGGTCGACAATGCGTGTGCGCAGAATTGGGTCCATACACAAGACCTCTTCCCAAGCCTTTTGGAACCGAGCCACGTCAATTGTCTCTCGCAGTGGCATCTCGTACCGAGCCACGTAGTCACCGGCTCGCTTGGCCGTCAGTGCAAGAAGGCCTTCTTGCAACGGCGTGCATGGAAATATGTCTTGGATCTGGTAGCTATCAACCTGACACAGCTCGGCAACCTTACTCCGCGCCACCTGAGAATCAATATCGTGTTTGAGGAGAGAAAATGGTTGAATAGTGTCAGAAGCTGTGCTAGAGACCTGCGTCACCACCAAGGCCAGATCGCGCAGCTTGGGCTGCTTAAATATATCCGTGACTGTAAGGCTAAGTCCCTCTTCGCGAGCAAGTCCCACCAGCTTCATAGCACCAATAGAATCTCCTCCAATCCTGAGGAAGCTGTCATTTGCGCTGATTGAGTCAGCTTTGACACCCAGGACGGATGCCCAAAGTCGCTGCAGACGCTTCTCTGCGATTGTGCTGGGTGGCTTGTGTTGGGCTTGGCGAGAATTGAGCGCAATGATTTGTTCAAAGGTCAACTCATGGCCCATCTCACGCAAGCGACGACGGTCAGTTTTGCCGGTTGTTGTCATGGGAATATGGTCTATCAAAAGATAGCCGGCCGGAATCATGAAGCTCGGTACTTGTGAACCAAGTCTCTCATCAAGGCCGGCTGTAATTTTCTTGGTCTGCTCGACGCGCTGCTTGTTGTTTGACAATACTTTTCCCCTGGTGTGAATGAAGGCTAGGAGGAGAGACTTTTTGCTTCCCTCGGGCTTGATGATTTCAGCAAATACTTGCACAAACCCGTCATGGATGATATTCGACCGCACATGATACTCAACATCCCCAAGCTCCAGCCGCTGACCGTTAATCTTCACTTGAGCATCCTTTCGACCTAGAAAAGTCATGCTCCCATCTGTATTATAGCGGACTATATCTCCAGTCTTGTAAAGACGTCCACTGCGGCCAGCATAACCCGGTCCTCCACGAGCAAGCCAAGTCGGATCCTCGATAAAGGCTGCCTCGGTTTTGACAGGATCGCCTAGATACCCTGCGCCGACAAGCGGCCCTTCAAGTAAAAGCTCGCCAGCAGCACCAAACGGCACAAGCTGGTTGTGGTTTGTCGATTTAACAATCCAGGTACACATACCGAATCCCCGACCTATGCTAGCAGCTGATGTACCACCACCACCACCACCAGCCCTACCAACCTCTTCAAATGTTGCCTTGACACTGCACTCTGCGGGGCCATAGGTATTGAGAACAGTCACTCTCTCGGCCCACTGCGCAGCAAGGTGGGTTGTCAATGCCTCGCCGCTGAACAACAGATGGTCCAGCGTAACAAGATCGGCTGGGCGTAGAGTGCTAGCCACAGATGGGGTCAGATCAGCAAAATTTGCCTTGTACGAGACCATTGAGCTGGCGATATGATTGGAAGTTTCGGTCTCGGAAGGGATACAGAGACAGCCGCCCGCGGTCATGGTATGCAGAAAGTTGGACCAAGTCACATCAAACGCGTATTTCACGAAATCATATACGCGCGATGTGTTTTTGAAACCCAAAGCTTTCTGCTGGTACCGAATAGCACTGCAGAAGTTAGAGTGCGTGATGACAACGCCTTTGGGAAGTCCAGTGCTACCAGATGTGAAGACCACATATAGCTTGTTGGATGGGTCTACGGCCGGCAATGACCTAGGGATTGTGTCAACCTGCTCAAGGTGTGTACCGCTCACAGGGATAGCAACGCAATCTGTGAGACGCTTTGCCATCTGCAGATTCGCCGAGGATGTTAGAATAACTATAGGATTCACCTGGCAAACGACGCTGCGAATGCGCTCCTCTGGAAGAGTGCTGTCTAGCGCCACGGATGCACCACCTGCTTTCATGACGGCAAGTATAGCCACAGGCATCCATTTTGACTTCTCAAAGTACAAAGGCACAATAACATCAGGCCCAATGCCAAATGTAACAAGAGAATATGCAAGTTTCGTAGCAAGAGCATCTATCTCGGCATAAGTAAAACTACCATCCCAAGCGCAGATGGCGGGCGAATCGGGACTGTTCTGAACAACATCGGTGATTGCATCATGTACGAGCCCATTGACTGCTTCAGGCACCTCCTTGTTCCACTTCCAAATGTCTTGCAAATCTTTGTCGGTTATGCTTTCCATTTCAACCAAGTTTTGCGCCTTCTGGCCGACGACAGAGTCCACATTGCCATCGCTAACAAGAAATGTGATCATTTTTTCCAGAAGTAAAACAACGCGGTTAGCCTGTTCATTAGAAATACAAGCTAATCGGTGGTCAATCGTGAAGCAGGCTGAAACGTCGGTATATCTTATGCTCATCGTAATGTCATACTCGGTCGGATCTTCCCACTCAAGATCGGTGAATATCAAATCTCGGGTCCTTATGTCTTCGTCGAGGCCATCGTTGTCCCTTTGGAATGATATGATGGAGTTGAAAAGATTTTGTCCGAATGGGAGACCTAGCTCGTGTTGGATATCGCCAATCGAGCAATGTTGGAAGTCCAAGTCCTCCAAGACTTGACTGTATATGTGTTGAACCAAATCTGCGCCGCTCCAATCCGAGGAAATATTTACTTGACAGATCATAACGTTGGCAAAAGCACCAACAGAGTCCACGATACCCTTGACAGGAAATTCCCGCCCAGATGCCAGATATCCAAAGCAGACAGAGTCAGTGCCTGAGTAACTCGAAAGAACAAGAGCCCAAGCGCTCTGAAACAGGGTGGCAGGAGTCACAGACTGCGACTTGCAGAATTGTTTAACATGATCGAACGTCTCTTTGCAGAGTTCCAAGGTGACTACTCCGGCGTCATGCTCATTGGCTTCCAGCCCAGCATCAGCAAGACGTGGGAAAAGGCATGGCTCCGTAGTGCACAGCTTCTGCTTCCAGTAGGTCATTTTGTCGGTTCTCGACACGGACAGAAGGGCTCGAGCGAATTCTTCGTTAGTGTCGCCTAGTTCTTCGATATTGAGCTCCCCAGAGTAAGCTCGTCCCCAATCTTGCATGGTGATGGCCGTTGAAGCACCATCAGAAATTGCATGGCTCATCTCGATTTTGCAAACAAAACGTCCCTCTTCCGCGATCTCACAAACCACCAATCGATGAGCCGGCCTTTCTAGGGTGTAATTGACTTCAGGCAGTTCCCTAAGTCTGGTAACAGCTAATTCAAAACTCTGCTCTTTAAGAAGGATAACGTCGCCACGGTAGGACTTTAACACAACGGAGTTGTACGCAACCGAGGCATCCATGCTATGAATAAATACAGTTCGCAAAGAGGGGTGTCGAGCGACAACGGCTTGCCACGCGTTGGTCAAGGCGGCAATGCAAATCGAGCCACATTTGGAGGGTCGTATTTCCCAAGTTTGCGAGGTTTTGTAGGAGCCTGTGCCTTTCAACTGACTGAGAAGTATTCCGTCTACCATAGGAGAAGATGGGTAGACAGACTCGATTTCTGCGTTGTTGACCTTTTCAATATGTGGAAAAACGTCCTCATGGAGCTGATCGAGCCCTCTATAATCAAGGTTGAGAAACTCATAATCGCAAAGCGTATTCTGAGCCTGTTTATTGGCTAATTCTACACAGATTTTCTCCATTGAGGAGCTAATTTGTGTAATCCATGCTTGGATCGAATCCTGGTGAGCAAGATGTCGGTTCCAAGCAAATGAGATCTTAGTCACTCCAGATTCAATGACAACGTTGATATCAAACAAGACTGAGGTCGGAAGAGACGGTCCAACGGCCGATACCTTGTCATCAAAATTACACGCTTCAAAGAGAGAGTCGGTGCACTCTAGCTGTTGGAACTGTCCATGATAATTGAACTGGACTTCCATAACAGAGTTATGAGATGCGAAGGCAGCCATTCCCTTCTCATTCATATGCCTTGACACCCAGTAAGCCCAGCCATTGGAGGGTAACCGGCGTCGGGCATCCTTGACCGTCCTAGAAATATTTGCAGTACTATTGCCCTCGCTTCGAGAGACATGGATAGGACAGATTGTTGTAAACCATCCTACAGTGCGTGACAAATCAATATCTACCGTCCACGGCTCACGCCCGTGGCTTTCAGTAAAGATAGTAAGCCCATCTCGGGTATAGAACACATGAAAAAAAGCATCCCAGATGGATGAGAGAATTAGGTCGACAGGCTCCGTGTTGAACGCAGAATTCGCGCCCTTGAGCATCAGTGAGGTCGTGGCTCTATCAACCTCGATATTCATTTCTATGTGATCCTTAGTAGTGTTGGGTGTATGCTCGTTAAAATTCCAAAAACTATGGTTATTGTGCACATTAGTAGTAAAGAGAACCTTGTCCGGGAGGAACCGAGAGCATTGGGCTTCGTTTATCTGTAGCTTGTTCCAGAGCTGAAAGGGAAGCCCATCGAGAGGCTTCTTTCCGGTAAGCAAATCCTCGAGGTCATGTAATATGATTCGCCATGAAACGAGATCAACGACTAGATGGTGGGCGATTAGAGTCAAATATTGGCCACCACAAGGCAAGGTGTATAGATCTGCTGCGAAAACTAGGCCACGCTCGATGTCAAGGCTTCGATGACTCTTTATCGCCTTGGACTTTACTTCATCTAGAGACTGGGCTTCAAAGGAGCCAAAATGGTAAAAGCCATCTCCTGGTTTAGGAACAATCTGCATCCATTCTTTATTGGAGTAGTGGAATCGCGCGCGAAGCATGGAATGCTGCTCGACGATCTTGCGAATAGCCAGAGAGACATCTCCAGTCGAAAGGTGACGGTTGATTTTGACATAAAACCCTTGGTTACAATGATAATTTTCCTTAGTGACACATTCAGTTGGAGTCTGGCTGAAGAACCACTTCTGAATTGGCGACAACTTAAAGGCCTTGCCAAAATTCTCTTCACCTCCTTGGGCACGATGTAGGTCTGGGCCAGTGGCGGCAGCAGAGAGCTGGGCTACATAAACAAGTGATTTGCTTTTTAGCAGCACGCTTACAGAAACAGCTAGGTTGACAGCACGGCAATGCGAAGAGAGGCGCATAGCAGAGATGGAGTCGCCGCCATTGGCAACAAATGAACGCCCCAGATTCACTTCAAAACGAGGAATGTTCAAGACGACACTGCAAGCATCGAAAATAACACGCTCAGCGTGTGTCCCAGGTTCACGAGTTGCAATAGAGGAGCCCGCGTTACTGATTCTAGAGAAATTTTTCGAGTTTATATTGGTCAGCCAGTCTTCCACTAGGCGGCGATTCAGCTTGCCTGAAGGATTCAGGGGAATATTCTTGAGAGGGACCCAAATAGAGGGTACCATGTATGAAGGCAGAGCCTCTCCTAAGATTTGTTGCAGCGTTAGAATATGCTGCTGGACAGCGGCATCATGCTTTGCATTGACAAGCTCGATCGGCACCAAATTGTCAGTTTCATAAATGTCTTCCAAGCTGAAGATTCCAACGAGTTTTCTCGAACAAAGGCCAAACCGAGGATACAGAGATGCGGCCTGTCGCGTCTGTGGGTGACGGACCATGTGGTTTTCGATTTCGCCGAGCTCTACTCGTTGACCGTTGATCTTGACCTGGGCATCTTTTCGGCCGATGAACATCAGTGAACCGTCTATATTATACCTCACAAGGTCGCCGGTCTTGTAAAGGCGGCCCTTGCGTCCAGGTCTGCCAGGTCCACCGCGCAGGAGCCAGGGTAGGTCATGGATGAAAACCGCGTCCGTTTTCACTGGGTCGTTCAAATAGCCGTGACCGACAAGAGGGCCTTCCAAGACAAGCTCACCCATGGCGCCAATCGGGACAAGAGTGCCAACATTCGTTGGGTCTGTAACCCAAGCACACATCCCGATGGCAGGGCCGAGGGGTGGTTCACCATCCACGTCAGGGTCGACTGTTGCCACAGTCGCCGTGGGCGTACACTCACACGGGCCGTAACAGAGCTTCAGGTCGACAAGTGCTCCCCAACGCTGAGCGTACTGGGGGGGCAATCTTTCGCCTCCCAGGATCATTGTACGCAGGGATTGGATGGTTTTGTGCCCCAAGACCGTGGCGGCAGATGGCGTGATGTCAAGGATGGTTGGCTTGAACCGCTCAATAGATCCGGCGAGATCGTCTCTGCGTTCGTCCTCTGACGGAATACACAAGCAGGCGCCAATGGTAAATGTATGCATAAAGTTATTCCAGGTTGTGTCAAATGCGTACGAGGTGAAGTCGTATACGCGAGCATCAGGGGTGTACCCCTGAGCGAGCTGCTGGTGGTGAACTGCACTACACACATTTTCATGTGTGAGTATGGCCCCCTTTGGGACGCCAGTGCTACCTGAAGTGAATATCAAGTATGCCTTGTTCCACGGCTGGACTCGTGGAAGCTGCGTCGAGGATTTTTGCTCACTTCGCAACTGCTCTAGACGCTCACTGCTGAGAGCAATGATGGGTGCCACGGTGAGTGTGCTCGCCAACTCTCTGTTACTCAACGATGTAACCACCACAACGGGGTTGATTTGATCGACGATGGCTTGCAGACGTTCTTGCGGCTGGCGCGAGTCCATCATGGTCGACGCACCGCCTGCTTTCATAACGGCCAGCATCGCGATGGGCGCCAACATAGACTTTTCAAAATAGAGAGGAATGATTGTCTCAGGTCCAACGCCAACACTGACGAGGTAATACGCCAGGTACGTAGATATCTCGTCAAGTTCGCGATAGGATAAGTCACCATCCCACGCATTGACTGCCAGGTTATCCGGGATTGATTGGGCTTTGTGTGAAATTAAATCGTGTAGACAAGTGTGCAAAGCTTCGGGGCAGGTGCTGTTCCATTTCCAGATATCATCCATGTCCTGGGCGCTCACCATATCCAAGCTACCCAGATGGCAGCCAGCATTTCTTGGAGCACAAATCTGTCGAATAACATGCTCGAGTTGGCGAGCCAGCCTCTCGACTTGTTTGGCATCCATAATCCTATCATCGTAGGCAATGCGCAGCCTGAGTCCCTCTCTTTCTAGACCGCACTCAATGGTTAAAGCAAAAGTATCATGCTCGGTGACGTTGGTGTCATCTTGTCCGTCTTCGTCCCGGTTACTGATGAACCAGCGACTATCCTCTTTGTCTTCGCCATCCTCAACGTGATGTACGACGAGCAAAGTCTGGAATCGGCATGCTTGTTCAGCCTCCGCGCTCGCGCAGCGAATACGTTGCAAACCCGTCTGCTCAAAAGCCGTCATACGCACCGCTTGGGACTGAACTTGACGTAGAAGATGTTCCACAGTCATTTCACGCCAGTTGAAAGCAACTCGAACGGGCACTGTGGCAATTGTAGGCCCTACGATTTGCTCAACGTTGGGAACATGAGCTTGTCGACCAGAAACAGTAACACCAAAGACGATGTCGGAGCTAGCAGTATATTTTGCAGCCAAAAGCGTCCAAGCTGTCCGTATAATTGATGCAGGCGTCGTATCAGTCTTTGGCCACTGGAGTTTTCTGATACGATGTTTGAAGAAGGCACTAGACATTGGCTCATAGGTAGCTGAGGGAAGCAACGGAAAGGTTTGAGCTTCAGATCCACGAAACTGCTCACTCCAGTAAGTAGCCGCCACGGTCTGGTCAATGTCTATTATATGCTTGACAAATGCCTGCAGCGGTACTGAGGGCGTGATTATACTGCATTCATTGAAATGATACGTGGCTTCCAGCTTTTCCAACATCAGGGCAATGGACCAAGCGTCGTAGAGAGCATGGTGAATGGTCCACACAAAGAAGCGTCTACCATCAGCTGGGTCTTTCACAATGGCAAATCGTGCCATGGCTGAACCCAAGCCCATTTCGAGCTGTTTATCAGCCAATTCATACTCTTTGACACTGATCAACTCGTTCTTGAATGACCAATTGGTTGGCTCATCGACAATGATTTGAGCCAAGCCAAGGTCACCCAGATCAGCAAACCGAGTTCGCAAGATAGGCATTGCTGCAACGACGGCCTCCCATGCTTTCAAAAACTGCTCGTAGTCTACGCTGGCCCGCAGCGGGTAAATAAACCGTGCAACATAATCGCCGGGTCGCTTGGCGGTCAGTCCAAGCAAGCCTTCCTGCAATGGGGTGCAGGGAAACGCATCAGCGACTTGCTCAGCCTGGACATTGCACTCGCGTGCGATTCGCTGCTTGAGGGCGGCGTTCGTTACTTCTAATTTTCTTAACAGAGTGAATGGTTCAATTTTAAGTTCCTCGGTCTCGTTGGCAGTAACACTGGCTATTCGGGCCAAGTCACTTAGCACCGGGTGCTCGAATACATCTATGACGGAGAAAAAGATGCCATGCTCGCGTGCTGCTGCGACAAGCCTCACGGCCCCAATAGAGTCACCTCCTATCCGTAAAAAGCTACTATCCATGGCGATACTTTCTTCTTTGATGCCGAGCACGACTGCACACAATTCCCTTAGACGCATTTCGGTAATTGTAGAGGGTTCTGATCGCGCGGACTTGGGGTTCAAGTTGGTTCCTACAAGACTCTCCAAGTCCATTTGTTGACCTATCGCACGGAGCTTGCAGCGGTCAATCTTGCCACTAGGTGTCATAGGGATCTCGTCGAGTGGAACGCAGGTTGCTGGGATCATATGCGTTGGTACCTTGCCAACAAGCCTGTCGAGAAGGCCATTCGACAAGCTCTCGAACGCATTTTGTACAGTCGTTTCATCACAGGATGCCTCAGTGGCTCCAATGTGGATAAAGCATACGAGCATTGCATTGCTGCTGTCCTGAGGCTTGACAACGTCTGCCATGACTGTGACGTTTGATTCTTGAAGTTGTAAAATGTTGGATCGGACGTGGTGCTCAATGTCGCCCAGCTCAACACGTTGGCCATTGATCTTGACTTGGGAGTCCTTTCGTCCTAGGAAAATCAGGTTTCCATCTATGTCGTACCGTGCAAGATCCCCAGTCTTATACAAACGTCCATGGCGACCACGGTGATTGGGACATGCCTTCAAGAGCCAGGCTGGGTCGTATATGAAGGCAGCAGCCGTCTTTTCGTCGTCTCCAAGATATTCCGCCGCCACAAGTGGCCCTTCCAGCAGAAGTTCGCCGACACATCCCACTGGAACTAGTTTGGAGTGATCCGAGGGCTGTACGAGCCATGTTCGTAGGCCTAAGCCGGTGCCTATGCTAATGGGTTGACGCTTTTCCAGGCCTGAAGACTTATGAAGAACGACGCGTTGGGCCGTGCTAAACGTCGTGCACTCAGTTGGCCCGTAGAGGTTGGTTATGGCGACGTCAGGATGCAAGCTTTTTAGATCATCAGCTGAGAGTGGCTCTCCGATGAAGAGAATGTGGTGTAGATCCCGGAGGGGCTGCAATTCCAATCCCCGGATAGTCGAAGGGGTCAAAATGGCCGTGTTGGCACCAAGACGGTTGATGGCGCCGAGAGGATCGGTGCGGCGATCATGATTGCTGGGGATACAGAGACAACCTCCTGCAGAGAGTCCTTGGAGAAGATTGCACCAGACTACGTCGAATGTGTACGATGCAAAGTCGTAGATTCGTGATTCTTTAGTGAATCCAAGGGTACCCTGCTGGTGGCGGATGGCGCTGGTAATGTTTGCATGAGTTACGACCACACCCTTTGGGGTTCCAGTACTGCCGGACGTAAATACGAGATAGAGCCTGTTTAAAGCGTCTAGTTTTGGGAGTGCTATGGATGATGTCGGTGTTGATGAGGTCGTTGTTTGAGCACAAGGCAGACTGGGCAAGTGCTCCTCACCGACTATAACCAGGTTGCACGTGACCGTTGGGCTCAAGCGACGAGCAAGGTCCTGATTCTTGACCGACGTCAACACCACCACTGGTACCAATTGTCGCACGATACTCCCAAGTCGATCTTCTGGCTGCGTATCGTCGAGAGCAACAGAAGCTCCCCCGGCCTTCATCACAGCTATCATGGCCACAGGCATCCACTTTGACTTTTCGACGACGAGGGGGACGATGACATCAGGCCCAATCCCCAGACCAACGAGATGATGTGCCAGGTGCGTCGACAGGTCGTCAAGCTCGCGGTACGTCCAGCTACCATCCCACGCGCATACTGCCTGGGCATTCGGCTGCTGTCTCGTTATGGCGGAAATCAAGTCGTGTACAGCACCATCGGCCGTGTCGGGTACGATAGAGTTCCAGCGCCATATCTGGGCGAGATCCTCTTGACCGATCAGGGCCAGGTTTCCCAATTTTACCTCTGCATTTTTATCATCACAGAGCTGACGGGAAACGTGTTCCAGCTGCCTCATCATGCTGGCCACTTGGTCGTGGTGAAGCACAGCAGAGTCAAATCTTGTCGTCAAGACAACGCCTTGCTCCTGCAGGTGGCACTCTAGAGACAAAGGATATGTGCGGAACTCTGCCATTTCGTTTTCTATTTCGCTTTTTTTCTCAAAATCACCCCTTCGTAAAAAGAGACCATCATGACAGGACCTCTCCGTCTCATCCTCGGCTGGCTGGATGATGAGCAACGTCTGGAAGTCGCATGCTCTCTCAGCTTCAGGGCTGACCCGCCTGATTCGTTGTATGCCCGTTTGTTCAAATGGCACCATACCGAGGACCTGCTTTTGAATCTGGAGAATAAGTTCTCCGACAGTCTTTTCCTTATCCAAGACAATCCGTAGCGGCATTGTCGCAATCGTGGGACCAGTCATCCCATCCACCCCTCGCACAGCTGCCTGCCTGCCACTCACGGTGATGCCAACCACGGTATCATTTGCGCCCGTATAACACGAGGTGGTGATGGACCATGCAGCTCGCAAAAGGGTCGAGGCTGTAATACCCATCGCATTTGGCCACTGGAGATCTTTAATGGCATACTTTACCAGGGCATCAGATCTTGGCTGATAACGCGGCGACGGCAGTGCGGGAAAGATTTGTGCATCAATGTCTCTGAACTGTGTCGACCAAAAGTTGGTTGCCTCGTCTTCTTGTATATTGAGAATATGCTTTACGAAACCTTGAAATGGTATGGAATCCTCAAGCTCTCCTTCCCCGCCATGATAAGCTTGGGAAAGCCGCTTCAAAAGTAGAGATTTGGACCATCCATCATATAGTGCGTGGTGAATTGTCCACACAAAGAAACGTCTCGCCTCTTGCTCGTCTTCCCGCTCCTCCTCGAACATTGCGAATCGGACCAAGCGGCTTCCCGAGCCTATTGTAAGCTTCTCGTCCATCTGCTCATACTTGGCGAGGCTCATGCGTCGCTCCTCGTGCATTACCTTCGTCGTTTCATTGGTATCAACGACCACCTGCACCATTCCCTGGGGCTTGATGTCGACAATTCGCGTCCGAAGAATAGCTGTTGTCGCCACGACTTCTTTCCATGCCTTTCGAAGACGCTCCATGTTCACCTCAGGCTGCAGCTGGAAAACATGCCGGGAGATGTAATCACCTGGATGCTTGGCTGTCAAGGCGATGAGGCCCTCTTGTAGAGGTGTGCAGGGAAATACGTCGGCCACAGTCTCAGTGGCGACGCCACAAGCGACGGCCGCCTGTCTGCGCACCGACTCCACGTCGATATGATCTTTAAGCAAAGAAAAAGGCTCGATGGGACTGCTACTATCATCTGAAAGCTCGGCTACGACCTTTGACATGTCGCACAGAATCGGATGGGTAAAGATGTCGGCGACATTAAGCAGTAGACCGTTATCTCGTGCGGCACTAGCGAGTTTCATGGCCGCAATAGAATCCCCTCCAAGACGTAAAAAGTCATCATCAGCTCCGATGCTGTCGTCCTCCAAACCGAGAACGGAGGACCAAAGACCTCGTAAACGGAGCTCCATAACGGTAGTTGGCTCCCTCTTTTCTGGCAAAGATGAGCCTTGAGCCATAAGCTCCTTCAGTGAGAATGCTGCTCCCGTTTCCCTGAGTTTGCTTCTGTCCAATTTCCCACTGGATGTTGTGGGGAAAATCTCAAGCGGAATATAGGCTGCCGGGATCATGTACGCCGGTAAACGGGCGGCCAACCGATTGTTGAGTCCGTCGGTGACCCTCTGCAGCTCTGTTTCCAGTCCGTCCTTGTGTTGGCTGGAAGCTGGCTTCGATATCTGTATAAAAGCAACAAGCAAAGACCTGTCACTGTTGCGTGGTGTCAAGAGCTCAGCAGCCACTCGCACATCCCCGCCGACATGACCGACCTCTGTCCGCACGTGAGATTCGACGTCGCCCAACTCCACACGCTGGCCGCTGATCTTGACTTGCAAGTCTTTTCGGCCTATATAGGTGATGTTCCCATTGGCTTCGTAGCGCACAAGATCACCTGTCTTGTACAGTCGACCTGGACGACCTGGACAGCCTGGAGACCCAGCAACCAACCACTTCGGGCTCTCGATGAACACTGCGGCCGTCTTTTCCGGTTCTCCAAGATATCCGTCTCCGACAATTGGACCTTCCAACACCAATTCGCCAGTGGCTCCAACGGGCACCAGCTCGTCATGGCAGTCGGGGTGGACCACCCAAGTGCATAAGCCAGCTCCACGGCCAATAGTGACATTGGAGTCTTGCTTGCCAGCAGCGTCGCCATCGCCAAAGTCAGCCAGCGTGGCTCCGATTGCGCATTCAGCTGGGCCGTACAAGTTGAACACGCGGGTAACTTGTGCCCACTCAGAGGCCAGCTGGCTCGTCAGGGCCTCTCCAGCGAAAATCACATGCTTCAGTGTACCGTCCAGGTCCGATGGTCGAATCATGGCACCGACTGAGGGCGTGATGTTTAGACAGTTTGCGCCGCATGCTCGTATGGAGCCTGCAAGGTCACTGAGAGCCTCTTGCTGGGAAGGGATGCAGAGGCAGCCGCCCACAGTCAGGGTATGGATGAAATTGGACCAGGCTACGTCGAAGGAGTACTTGGCAAAATCATACACCCGTGAAGAAGGTGAATAGCCTAGCACGGCCTGCTGGTGGTGAATCAAAGTGCAAATATTAGAATGGGTAATAATTGTGCCCTTGGGAGTGCCCGTGCTGCCCGAGGTGAAGATGATATAAAGGCTACTTGATGGGTGAACATCTGGCAGTTTGTTGATTGTCATGAAGGGGCTGGTACTTCCCTCATCGACAAGCACGACTGTGCCTGAGTTGAGGCCGCCAGCAAGATCAGCAGTCAAAGAAGACGCCAAGATAATAATTGGCTTGGTCTGTTGAACGATGCTACATAAACGCTCGAAAGGGAGTGAGGTCTCCAGAGCCACCGATGCACCTCCGGCCTTCATCACAGCGAGCATGGCAATGGGGGTCCATTTTGACTTTTGAAAGCAGAGAGGGACAATCACATCAGGACCGATGCCAATATCGACGAGGCGATGTGCCAGGTTGGTGGAGAGCTCATCGAGCTGGCGATAGCTCCAATTGCCGTCCCAAGCCTGGACGGCCTGCTCGTCAGGCTGCTGGAGCACTCTCTCCGTGATAAGACTGTGAACACATTTGTTGACTGTCTCTGGGACCGTATGATTCCATTTCCAGATGAGCTCAAGATCTTTACGACTGATGCTGTCTGTCGAGCTATGCTGAGACTCGTTGTGAAGTGACGACGAGGAAGGGTCTTGCCTCTGTTCTGAGGCATTGGCGGACATTCTGAATGATATCGTACAATGCAATATTGGCCTCCTTATGAATGGCTTCGGGCCAAGCTTTTCCGTAGACACCTTCGTCAAGGGATGATGACGGTACTGGTAGAGGAAGATGAGAAGCTGCAAAGAAGACCTGAGCAGCCAGTCTCAAATTCTTAGACCAATGCTGTTGGGTCGAGGATACACAATGGGGTACCCGTCACTTACACACAACATAAATGTGAAGTACATGTGTTTGCCAGGCACCGTACGAAGGGGGTACCAGCATAATTGCACGTACATGTATGTCTCTCGTACGTTACGTAAAATGTCTGGTAGCCCATTGCGCCAGAGAGGACTTTTGGGCGTCTATTATCAATCAGTAGCTAGATCATCAATAGTCATCGTCATACTTGCCTGGGCCGCAGGTGAGTGGTCGAAAAGGGCAGTGCGAAGTTGCAGCACCCACCACCGACTTTGAGACTGAGACATGCGCATACATCAATCACATCTTTCCCCAAGTAACTCAAGTAACTCACCCGGCTCATGTCACACACTCCTCCGCATTGGTAGCTTCACAGCTACCCCACTCCCAGGTGGCTTTCGGTAGTTGTGTGATCCCTGGCAAAGGTCTGGACGATCCTCAGCCGCACAGCTTGAGCATAAGAAAAGATAATGCAGTAAATACTCCGTATAATTTGCCAATCGTCCCTATTCCCCAGCCCGTTGAAGCAACACAAATTTCCGCGGGCTAGACGAACTACCACGCACTGTCAGCAATAGTAAGACAGTTATACAATATTATGGTCTGAACGAAGCGTGAAAACGCGATTCCTTTCCTTCAACTCTCCGTATCACAAAGGCTGCGTGACCATTGCATCTTGAGAGGAACATTAGGGCGGAACTTAGAGTGAGGCCGAGCTCTTCATTTCATAACTACTCCACTGTAGCTTGTGCATGTAGATCCCTTGGACTGTGATAGCATGCCGACATCACACCACTTGGATGTCAAGAAGCGGAGATTTTCTTACTCGGTGAAACTTGGCCATCTCGTGACCATCCCCAGACCCAGAGAGACTTATTGGCAATAAATGATTCAGTCCTGCGCTGCCTTGGGGATTCATGCCTTCAGGGGGAGTTCTATCAAGATCAGCTCTTGTTTGTGCGGGGCTTGTCTATTGCGTCTTGGACCTCGTCCAGAGTGATCGAGTAACGGCAGACGGCCGAGTACGTGACTTAGGCCGATTCACATAATAGGTACCAACCTACCTTGCCTACATAGACCATGTAATTTAAATAGAAACCTTCCCAACTCGGTGTTTGCTTCTTGGCTCCCAGATTCAACAACCTCGCGGCTCCACATTCAACAGTTGATTGTTGAAATGGGAACCATCAAAGGTCTACCCTGATGGCCAGTCACTGCTGTAGCAAATCCGAGCTCAGTGGCTAGTGCTTTATAGTCTCGAAGGTATATGTTCTTTTAGGTATTTTCAAGAAAAGACAAGAATTTCGTCTCTGGACGGCCTGGGAAGTACCTATCTCTCGAAAGAAACCTCCGTACAAAATCATTGCTGCAGCAACGATCGAGTGATCTCCTGCAAACTGTTGCACAAGCTTACCCCCCCTAGTGCTCCCGCCGGGTCGATATTCATTCGATCAACGGGGCATAGGTCAGCCTGGAGAGACATGGCGCAATTATGCCTGAGTCGAAGGCTTTTGAGGTCTTTGGGCCCGAGCAAGCGACTACATGTATGATGTAGGTATAAAAACTGGTTTTTCTTGGCATTCCTTATTTCTTGGTACAGCATATACCTTTTTCATCTCCTTCTTGGCCTTGATCAGTATTTAAGCCCTTCTTGTTGTACCTGTGCTTTAGTTTTGAAGTTGGAATTACAGCTGTCAACCCTTATTATACGATTCTGGTTCCTTCGACAGATTAATCAAGCCCAATAATGGCCCTCTTGACGATCCTCGGCCTAGCTCTAGCCCTCTCTGTTCCTCTCATTGCCGGCAGAGTCATCTATGCCTTGTTCCTTTCGCCGTATAGGAACATTCCAGGACCAAAGCTGTGTAAAATCACCCGCTACTGGGCCATTTATCAAGACTTGCGGCTGCATCGTATCAGCAAGATCCACGAGTGGCACTGCGAGTATGGCGATGTCGTTCTCATCGCCCCGGGCGAGGTCTCCTTTTCCAGCCCGGCGCCCACAAGGGACATTTACGGCTGTTCCGGGCGTCATCCAAAGAGCAGCTACTTTGACAACTTTACAATGTACGGCCAACGACCCATCTTTTGCGTCCGCGGTGTTGGTGACCACCGACAGATGTGCAAGCGAACGTTTGCCTTCTACCAGCCCTCGTCCGTCTACAAGCCGGCAGCCTTGCAGCCGCTACGCACCAACGTCTCCAAGATCGTTGATCAGCTCAAGAGGGACATGGAAGCGCGCTTGACGGTCGATGCCATGTTTTACTGCAACCTGTACTCGTTTGACAACATCACACGCCTGGCATATGGGCCCGAGCTCTGTGCCCACTCGATCGACGACGAACACTGCGAGGAGCGAACGATATTGGCGGGCTGGAAGGAAGTCGAGGTCTGGAACAACCTCGCATACATCGTGCCCACCGTCCACAGAATCACCCGGGCCGTCCTATCCTACGCCAGAGGCGACCCTGCCTTCTTGTCCGCCGAGGAGAGGCTAGCCGGCTGGAACATGGACAAGATTATAGCCAGCCAGCGGAACCCGGACAAGATCGTGCCCGGCTCCCTCCTCCACCAACTGAGCCATGCCAAGACGTCCGAGGGCGAGCCTTACCCCGTGTCGTGGATCGCGGCCGAGATGCTGGACAATATCCACGCGGCGCAGACGACGGTGGCCCTCGCCTTGACTTTTGCGCTCTGGGACCTGGCTCGCAACCCCGAGTGGCAGGACCGGGTCCGCACTGAGCTTCTCGCACTGCCCATAAGCGAGGAGGACGGCCTGCCCGCCTTTGAGGACATCATGGCTTCGCCCATTCTCGGTGCCTGCTTCCGAGAATCTGGCCGGCTCCATCCTTTGTCGAGCGGCAGGGCGGAGAGGGTGGTGCCCGCCACAAAGGCATATAGCGACATTGTCCTTCCAGCCGGGGTGAGTCCTCCTCTTCTTCCTAGCAGTTACTACCCTCTTTTTGTTCAATTGCTTGTATATGCTAACCATAAGATGAAAACAGACCATTGTGTCCACATCGACACTCTCCATTCACTACAGACCAGACGTCTTCCCCGATCCACACATGTTCAAGCCCGACCGCTGGCTCGAGGCTGACGGGGCAAGTCTACAAGCCATGGAGTCTTGCCACATGCCGTTTGGCTACGGCGCGCGTCTTTGTCTAGGGAAAGCCTTTGCCATCGCCGAGATCAAGCAGCTCGTTGCAGGCATCCTCCTCGAGTTTAGCGTGCGGCTGGATCCGCAGTCCAAGACAACAACAGACTGGAGCATGGAGCAGCTCGGAACTCAGAATGCCATGCCCCGCGGCCGGCGATGCGATCTGGGCTTCCACAAGCTGGCAGAGAGGGAGTGGGCGGGTATAGACGGCACACAAGTTGGCGTGCCATCTGAGACTTAGGATGGTGGCTTCATTTCGGTATCTGTTTAATCAAGGGGCTGGGTTCTTTGAAAATTTTTGTCATTTAGTTACTTCATGAGGCTGCAAGTGAGCTGTCAGTGTCTTTACTGCGCCTCCTTGGGTTTGGTTGTAGCAAAAAGCAACGCAGCTACATCATTCTGATCAATGCCAATCAACTCACTCAAGGCAGTATCCACATTGCATATGCGTATGGACAAATAAGGAGTTAGGGTTACAATATAATTTGGTTAGACTTCGCGAGACAATACCTCCAGCATCACGACATATGCGCTATGCAGTCGTACACCCACGTGCATCGAAAGGAAATTGGGCTCCACTGTGTGATAGATGGCTGCAGTATTACGAGACCGAGTCTCGTCTCGCAAGAACACATGATGCCAGTGTACCGGGAAGGTTAAGGTGGCTTTTCGTGGCGAGCTGAAAAGCTAAGACAACTACGGTAGCCACTGAGAGAACAGCAGATGCCGTCGATCTGTTCCAGTTCACCTGCGGAATATGACATATCAGGCTCTATAAAGATGTGATCATCCACATTGTCACAAAATTGATGTGATAACATCATTCAATTGGCTGGGGCCTCCAAGTTATACCGCCGTCCTTACCCCTACTCAATGCCCATATGTAGCTTGATGGACGTGCGATCATGATTGATGAGCAATGTCTCGGGCGTTCCAATGGCGCCTTGCGTGACCCCATTAATGGGACAACAACGGCTGTGAGCTCCTCTAGCCGATGCCAAGCCAAGCTTCCGTGTCCAAGTATGTAGATGCACGAGGCTGAAACCCCTGACTCTGGTGGTCAGGTCATTCTCGAGTCACGCAATTAGGTAATGGCAACCACGATGAGAGACCTCCAAGGGCCTTTTGGTGATGCAAAGAAGGGAAATACTTGTACAGGAAAGGTACAGCGTAATGATGGCAGTATTGTGAAGAGTACAAAGTGGCTAGGAATGAGCCGTCTCAGCCACTCACTCATAAGCCCAATCCCACACTAAAAGCGGCATCTGGTTCCTCCACTTTCTGCACCTGTTCTCGTATTGATGAATTCATGGATGAGCTACTGCCGGTCGGGCCCAAGAACAATGTGAGGGCCATGCCGATGCGCCTCCACAACATAGGAGATCAAAGTACAATGATCCACGCCCGACGTTTTGTACTGCGCCATGGGGACCAAGTATGGAGGAAGAAATGAATTTGTTGTGTACATATTATGCCTTTCTAAGCGAGCTGCCCAACGACTCATCCGCTCGGTCACTGGTCTTGGTCGATCCTCTCCTCTCGCCTGTGGGGGGGGGTAGCTCCAGAAACATGTCCTTAAAGCAAGGATCTCGATCGAAAAAGTAAGGAATAACGAAAGATCCCGATCCTCCTCTCATTCCGCCACGGTTTGCATTACACGGCAGGGCTACCTCCACTCATGTATAGCTTAGAGAACATGGACGCTAGGTCGGCCAGGAGCTCTTGCGGGTTCCCAGATTCCACCGGCTTGCCCTTGTCAATTAACACGACCCGATCAAAGTCGAGCACTGTGTTAAGTTTGTGAGCAATGGCGATCAAGGTGCGGCCCTGGAGCTCTTCTCGTAGTACCCGCTGCATGAGCTCGTCCGTCTCCACATCGACGCTGCTCGTCGCCTCGTCGATGATGATGATTTTACCTGGGCGCGCAATAGCGCGGGCAAGGCAGAATAGCTGCCGCTGGCCGTGTGATAGAGCGTCCTCGTCCATTGGGGCATCGAGCCCGCCGCGGCTGTCCAGCAGGTCCCAGAGACGGACGGCATGTAGTGTTTCAATGATTCGTTCGTCCGTCAAGATATGCAGCGGGTCCATGTTCTCGCGCACACTCCCGTATAGAAAAAAGGGCTCCTGTGGTAATATATTGAGGCGGCGGCGCAGTGTCTCGCGCGATATCTTGCCGGTGGCGTACCCGTCAATGGTGATGCTGCCCTCATCTAGGTCCAGCATACCAAGAATCGCCAAGAGGAGTGATGATTTACCGCTAGAGCGCTGTCAGTTGGTGATAACAGAAAATATCAAACTCAGACCTGAAATCTCACCTTCCTGTTCGCCCGCATAATGCAATCTTTTCACCTGGTTGGATGGTCAAGTTGAATCCATCGACGACAGGAGCGGTAGTTGACTCGTAAGAGGCGGAGACGTTATCCAAAATAATAGAACCAGCTGCCGGCCAAGTATCTGGCAAGCCGTCGTCCGTCTCTCCATCGCGTTTCTCTGATTTGGTCTCTTCGACAAATGTCTTGACGCGACTGATGGCACCAAGGCCCGTCTCCAGCTGTGTCCACTGCGTGACGAGAGACTGGAGAGCGCCACTGAAGCTGATGACGTTGAAGAGCGCCACGCCCAGCAATCCAGTCGATCCGTTGCGCACCAGTGTTGCAAAAGCGACAAGCATCACGGCGATGGCGCCGGCCAACAGGTCCAGAACCACGGTCAGCCACCTCTGGATGCACCACAATAGATAGTACGGCTTCTGCGAGTCGTCGAGAACGTCGTAGCTCCGGTCCATGTACTGTTCTGACCATCCATATGCGCGGATGCAGGCGATGCCGCCCAGGGTCTCAATGAAGTGGGAAAATAGGGGCGCCTTGGCTTCAATATCGAGCAGACGCAACTGGCGTGAGGTACGCAGATAAAACATCTGGACAAAGAAGATGACAGCTACGCAGGCAGGGATTGTAGCGGCAACGTAGCCCGAGCCGGCAAACACCAACACGGCCGAGGTCAAGACACCGAGAAAGTTCATGACGAACTCGTCGAGAGACTGCGGCAGATCACTGTCGATAAGCTGCAGGTCTTGACTGAACCGGTTCGTGGTGACCCCGGCATTTGTGGATGTCAGAAACGATGTTGTTGCGCTAAAGGACGATGAATATTAGCCACTGATGATCCTCAACCAGATGAAATCAAGGCAACATACTGCATAGTTGTATCGAGCAAAAGCTCGTGGAATTTGCGCGAGGTTTTTGGAACCACCATCATTCGGAAAGCCCTAAAGAGGAGTCAGACCACTTCATCAGTCCCGTGTAAAGAAAAGTCAACGCACCAGTCGGATGCCATACACCCTGCAACCGCTAAACTTGCGAGGGCAAAGTATACGCTTAGCCAGTAGCCAATGTTGTCGTTGGGATGTTCTTTATTGTAATAGGTCCACCATTGCAGCCATATTGCTAGAGGGAGTCACCAGAGTCAGTAGTCTAACGATTGACGTTGTGAGTTCACTTACATGGAAAGCTAAGGCCAAATATATACGCTGCGCAGATGACGAGATAGGCTAAAAAGGTCCATACACCGGCAACCCGGATGTAGTAAGTGTACACCTGCCAGTCACTCGCGTGGTGGGCAGCATCTAGCTCGTCGTCCTCCTTTTCGAGACCGAGTTCCTGGTAGACTTCTTCTGGCACCTCCAGTGCTTCCTGTCGGGACGTCTCAGCAACTGGCAAACTCTCCAGGCGCTGCACATAGCCTCCGGATGCGGAAACCTCTTCAAGAGTGCCTTGCTCAGCGATACCCCCTTCTGTGTTGAGAACTATTATATGGTCGGCATAACGTAGATGGCCAGCTATAGGGCATTCTGTAAGCAGTGCAAGAGAGAGTGATGGGTCGGAGTCAACATACCAGAATTTGTAGCAAGCACGACCGTTGATCCCATACTTTTTAGGATGCCGTCCTCATTGAAGACGGCCTCTAGCATAGCGGCCTCAGTCGTCCGGTCAAGACCCGTCAAGACATCGTCCAAGACAAGGAGTTTGTTCCTAGAGTACAAGGCACGAGCCAACGACTTGTCTCATGTCAGCTCCTCTTCCCTTTCCCAGACCGTACCTAGAAAGGTATATTACTCACCACACGAATCTGTTGGCCGCCACTCAGACGAGAGCCCCGGATCCCGGTTTCCGTCTGGTCACCATCTGGCAGACCTTCAAAGTCGCCATCTAGCGAACACGCACGAACAACTTTGCGGTACCACCCGGCATCCCACGGCGACATTCCCAGGATGTTGCTTCGTACTGTGCCCCACGTAATCCACGGCGATTGGGGAGCGTATGCGCATTTAGAAAAGTCCGAGACAACGGAACCTGACACTTGGGGCAGCTCGCCGAGGAGAAGTCGCAGCAGTGTTGACTTCCCGGAACCGACAGGCCCGACAATCATGGTCACCTTGCCGCCACTAATCCCCAGGCTGATTCCTTTGAGGATCATTGTTTCAGGAATGTAACCTCCCGAGGCTGCAGTGAGACGAATAACGCTGGTTTCAGAATTGTTGTCAACGACCTTGGTCAGAACACCGTGACCGGATGCCACTGTAGTAGAGATTTTCGGTAAGCTTTCATCGGATGACGCATCGGACTGTTGGTAAAGAGGGGTCGCTCGTGAGTCTTCCCTCTCAGCAGACAAAAGGTATGTCTGAATACGATAAAAGGCGTTGTATATGGTCTGGAAGTCTTCGAATCCATGAAGCAAGGACATGACGGGCCTGTCCTGAAGGTTGAACAGACTCAAGACTGCAAAAGCCACACCCTCTGTCAATGCCTCCGTATTGTTGACCTTGGCCAAGATGGCAAAGGTTCCGAGGCCCAGGACGGGAGCAAAGGTAAATGTGCAATTGGCTGTCCGACACCCCAAGTCAGTCAGAGTTTCATCGTGGGGAGTTTTATGCGAGGCAATCAAGTTCAGGGGACTCACCAGCACCAGTCTGTAGCACGGACAAGAGACGGAAGGCGCGTGATGCTCGGATCTCCTTGCTTCTGAGACTAGTAACAATCTTGTGGATGGTGTCTGTCAAGCCAGCCATTCTAATCACCTTCATTGTCCCCACCATCTTGGAGGTCACAGCCAAGCGCTTCTCAATCGCCTCGAGCCATGGCACCTGCGCGTTTCCAGCGGCAGAGGCAATGGGAATTCCAAAGGCAAGACACACTTTTTGGTATGTTAGCATTCTACCATCTATCTCAGCTTACTAACAAGAGCCGGGGTCATACTTGCCAACAATGAAGAATGTAGGAGGCAGGACTGCGATGCCGAGCAGCCTGGAGAGCAGCCAAAGAGACAAGGCAAGCTCTACAACCGCGGCGTAAGCATCGTGAATAATCTGCATGGAAAGACCGATTCGATCAATATCGGCGCTCATCAGTGTGATGGCCTCGGCGTCTTTGACAGCACTGATGCTCAGGCGAAGAGTCTTGTCGAAGATCAACGTGACAAGGCTACCGCGAAACAGTGTCAGGGCGCGATATGTCATGTGCTCGTACCAGGCTAGGGACATCTACACAGCGGGAACTTAGTACCTGGATGGCAAAGAGAGTGCTCAGGATTCGATCGTACCGCTTTGCCAAGGTGGACGAGAGCATACGCGCCAATGAGGCCGTAGGCTATGTTTTTCGAGTTGGGACTCTCAGGTTCCGAGGTGAAATTCAAGGTTCTCTCCACGAGTAACGGCTCGACGAAAGTGAATGTAATATAGGTGAGACGAGGCAGCACACCACCCAATAGGGCCCATTTGTAATGACATACAAAGACCCAGAGCAAAGCGCCCTTGCTGGATTTTTCGGCTACAATGCATGTGTGTTAAAGAAGAGACTTGCCATGGAAAGGAACTCTTCGATCAAGGAGCTCTCACCTTTTGCCCACCTTTCCTCCAATTTTGTAGGCCGAGAAGCGGTCAAGATATCTTGGTCTAAAGGCGTCAAACTGCCCACAGTCAGACGCGTGTTGTATCCACTGATAAACAACCGGTTGAGCCAGAGGAATAACACTCGGCTGTAGTAAGAGGCGGCATCTTCGGGCGAGGTATCTTTCCACTGCAACAGCAGCAGGCTACGCTTTTCAGTGACTTCCAGGACCAACAGCACCAGCTTGACGGCGTAGCTTGCAAGGTTGATCAGCGCCGTGATGTGGTAGTCCGGGATGAAGAACAGGGTACGCAAACGCGCCAAGTCTAGCAGAGCAGAAATGCCGAAATAGAGGCAAAGAATGGTCGACGGCCTCACACATCGGACATGCTCCAGATATGAGACGTAGAGAAGCCAGATAAAACTAGCGACGACGGTGACTGCTAGCGGTACGGTGAGTCTGGTGGAGGGAGTGTCCTGTCGAGCCAGAAGAGCCAGCAAGACGATCTGTAGCACAATGTAGATGGAATATGTCACCTATTGAATCGACCTATTAGCCGCCACTCGTCCGCGTATTAGATGAGTCGAGTGTTCAAGTACACATTTTAGAGCAAACAGCCATGATCGTTTGGCCTTCGGGGCAGTTTTGCGAAGAAAAATCGCCCGGGGGATGAGTATCACAACTGGAAACTCGACTTAGCGAACAACCTCTAGACAAGACAAGGGAGAAGAAGACAGTCTTCTGTCGTGCCCGTACCGGTGAGCAAAAGTGGCAATAGAGTGAGGACACTCTCTTCGAAAAGTAGGGTGAAATCGAAGCCGTTGAGACACGAGTATGCCACTGTCGGCCCAAACGCATCATGGACATCAATTGAACATGACCTGTTGCCCATGGCCATGCTAGGCGAGTATGCCGGCCAAGAGCTCGTTGGCCAGAGCTTCAGCGGGTTTTGAAGAGCCATGGCGAAGAGCAAGACGAGACGAAATTCCGGTCCGAGATCAAACGCCGACAATGACAACTGGCCAGCTCGACCAACTTAACCCCCAAAATCACGTTGAAGTCAACGGGGTGATAAGATCAAAAGAGGCATTCCCCCAAGTGACGTTGATTGACTTCGGTGGGCTTTTCATGAATGGTAATGTCTCTGATAAAGCTACCCTACGGGGTGAGGCCCAAGATCGAGATGATTTCCACTGCCGTTCTTCTCCATTAATAATGACCATTTTTATGCCAAGTAACTACGTACATGATTTCTTTTGTGCGCTCAACTGAGACAAGCTGCCGCTGGCTGATTCTTTCAGTACCAATCAAAGCTACCGTGAGATCCATTACGTGATACTGTGCCACTCGTCGGAAGCCGCGACTGCAGACTCTCATTTGAGCCAGGACAGTTTCTCATGCACGCGCTGCGTACCTAGCATAGGTAGTTTTTTGGGTTGGTCTTACTCGACCAACTGCCCGTATTTGCAGGACATAAGCCTAAAATACCCTTTATCCCTTGACCAGCACGATGTTCGCGTCACGAGTTCGCAGTTCAGCCTACCTAATGAGCTCATCTTTCAATGTAAATGTTATTGGGACACATTCAACGAGGTTTACCTCCTACTTTCTGGCCCTACGACGGGGTGATTCACGGAAATGCTGAATGATACAGGCAAGGTAACGCTTCATCCGTGAGAATAGGCGAAGCAGAGAAGCATACGATTATCCAAGTTTGGGGAAAAGATGGCGGCCATTCCGCTTCGTCACAGCTCCATCAATACCGCAAATAAGACGGAAATTCTTGGCGACATGATGGAGATGTACCGATGAAGCTCGTGGGCAAGACGTCACCAATATTGGCTGCCAGGGGATCGAAATGTACATCGCCAGAGGACGCATCACGGAAGAGTCAAGACGCACCGGTACCTACCCCGGGTTCCCGACAAACGCTGGCTGAGGATGGACTCTGGCAGGTTCGGCATTGTAGAATCGACCGGTCGAAGTCGATTGCTGCTTCGAGACAGCGGGAAAGAAATCGGCTCGAGGACCTGGTGCCTATGCGATATTAGCGCAAGCCCGCAAGAAAATGAAAGCCATGATTGAGCAAAGGAAGATGGGAAGCATTTTATCAGGAATGTTGTTGTAAATATTGTAATCAAGGACTCTTTCGAGTGTCATAAGCCGCGGTATTTCTCGATAGAAACAATCATCATGATGCTTGGTAGAGACATTACGGGAAACAGAACGATGGAAATCACCTACCAAAGATCAAGGTCAACGAAAAGGATCCGGCTTCACACATTATGCTGCGAGACGCGTGAAAGAAGCAGAATAAGTTGGGTTCGTTTGTGGGTCGGGATTTATTTTGGCTACTTGTATTTATGATGACTAAGGTAACTGGGGCCATTCGTCGGTAAACCCCGGCCGTTCCCACACACACAACCTGCAAAGCCCAAACCTTGAACGATCAACACGGTTTTGCAGCCAACCGCGACACCATTAGAGTTTTACAATTAGCTGCTTGCCTAAACATATTGTCACATCCCGGAGCGAGTAGATGAGATGGGCATAGAAAAGCTCACCAAAGATATTCCCTCCCATACCTGCCGGTCAGCAATAAGTTCAGGTTGCATGTAAACGGCTAGCGAGGTGGAAACGATCGCAGAGACTTGAGCGGTAGAGGAATGAAAAAACAAGGGGAAAAAAGTTATCCCGAACCCTGGACTCGAACCAGGACCTTTTGCCCCGCAAAGGGCCCACCAATGCGATCTAGTGGGTGATACTCAAATGTGCTACCAATTGCACCAGTCCCAAGTAACAAACAACGCTAACTATGTGGTGGTAATAAACATGATTCTGTAGCATCCTCGAACCGTTAAGCTTGGAAAAACAAATGGTAGCTTTTTTTCCCCAAGGCACTTGGGCCTGGGTTAAACCAATATCAAATGTGAACAGACCAAGAATATTTCCCTCCATTTTCTCACAATAATGCCATGCTCCAACGCCATACTGGATTCCTGGATTTCGAGCCGGTCGAAAGGCTTAACTCTGAATGATGATGACTAAAAAACGCCCAATTATTTGATAAGTACCGGGTATCCCATGCTTGTAACCTTTTTACAGATGCTCGACTGATTAGCATCTTGCAGTAACAGTCCATAACATTAATCCCATGCTGTTGAGGTGGTCGTAGACGAATATGAAAAGAAACGGAAAACAAAACGAATGAATGACAGGGGCGACAAGGGAGAGGGGCACGGCCATTAGCTCAGGCTTCCTCCTCCATGATAGCCTGAACTTCATCCTCGTTAAGGAGGACACGTCGCCCCAGTTCCTCCGGTGGTTGGCCATCACGGACAGCACCAAAGTCGAGAATCTAGAAACACAATTAGATACTTGAGATTCGTAAACGGAAACACGTAAGGAGGGAAACACTTACTTCGACATAGGTCAGCTGATCCCGCTGCACGGCCGCGACACATCGGCGCCCATCAAATTTGACTTGCCAGACCCCACTAAGGTCCGTGAGCAAGTCTTGAATACACTCTCCAGTTTTGACGTCCCACATCTTAACCGTCTTCTCGCTACCGCTGATGACCTTGGAGCCATCGTGCTGGAAGCAGGTAATGGCCCCCGTATGAGCCATGAGTGTGTTTTTACAGCGTCCAGTTTCTGGATCCCAGATTCTAAGGGTGGAGTCAGCAGCGGCCGACACAAGGCGTTCGTCACGAAGATCCAACAGCCCGACGAGGAGTGTGTGGCCCTCCAGAGTATGGAGGCAGGCCCCAGTAGCAAGATCCCAAATCTTGACTAACGAATCCATCGATCCTGAAATACAGCGATTACGTTCATGGTCCAACACAACCGAATACACCTTTTGAGAATGTCCGTGGAGGGTATGAACGCATTCACCAGTGCTGATACGCCACACTCGCACAACACTGTCGTAGGAACCGCTCACGAGCGTATCGCCGTGGGCTGAGATGGCGCGAACCGAGTGCGAATGGCCAATGAGAGCACGAATGAAGTACGGGCAGTCAGACTCCGAGCCTGTCAAGCTCGTCTGATAGTACCTCTTAGAACCAACTTCTGGTAGACGCCAGACCCTGAGCTGACTGTCTCGAGAGCCGGTAATGATCAGAGGCTTCTCGGGTTGCATAATAGCCTTCCCTGACGCATCCTTGCCGGTTTGCGTCGGCATGAGAATCTGCAGGCAGCGCACAGTGCTAGTGTGTCCGTAAAAGACCTGTTGGCAAATCCCTCTTTCGATATCCCAGACTCGGACAGACCTGTCTGTAGAACCAGACACCAAAATGTTGCCCTCATACTGCAATGCCCAGACTCCACCCTCATGCCCCACAAGCCTGTTTCTCAGCTTCCCAGTCTTTGTGTCATAAACATGAATAAAGGTATCATCACTACCTGTGATAATCTTGTCCTCGTCAAACTGAAGGCAGGTGATGACATGACGGGGATGTGCGGCAAAGGCGACATGTGCCGGCCTCACCTCACCGCTGGTCCAGCTTCGTCGAATCATGTGATGGCGTCGATACAGGGATTTGAAAAGATGAAGCTGTCGTAGGCTTGAAAGACCGAGATGGGGATCAGGCACTGCTGCAGCGGCAGAATTGGCTGCAGATAACGGCCCAGCACTTCGGTGCTGCTTGACTTCGTTCTTATCATCACGCGATGAAGGGGCATCCTGTGCACTGGCCCGCCGCTTTGAGCGCTCAGAGGCCGAGTATGTGTTGAGACCACGCTTCCGCTTCGAGGCGGTCCTTGATTTCGGTGCTTCTTGCCTCACTGATTTGGTGAGTTCGTATTCAGACGAGGTGAGGCGACTCTGCATACTCAGATCTCTCTCGAATCCGGTGGCCCCCACAGGATCTTGCCAACCCCAACCTTGTGTGATTGCCTTCGCCAGTTCGCCAACGGGGAGTTGGTAGCCATCCCGATCGAAGAGCTCCTTCCACCCGGTCTCATTACGATCAACGATGTTGCGCCAGTTTCTAGATACTTGTGCAGCGCGGCAGAGATCCTGATGATCTAGATAAGAGAGAATATGATAGCTGAGTTCGAGGGGTAAGTGAAGGAAGAAGTCGCACTTCAGGGCTGGGTTAACGGCGTTGGCAACAACACGGAGGGTAGGCCGGGCGCAGCGTCGAAGGAACTGATACATCATAAAAGTCTTCATCTCGGGCTTCATTGAGTCGAACGCTTCCAGTAGCATCTGAGGATCGACAACGACTGGAGAGCTTTCGGTATGCTTCATCCTAGTGGTAAGGGCCCGACTCTTGGCGGGTACTAACTCCATGGAGGGCTCATCCTCCTCTTTGATTTGGGATTCATCCATCCAGAGGCTTCCATCGCTGTTGGTTGTTTGGAAGCTGCTAGGCTGTGTGCCATCGTCCATCTCTTGTTCAGCTGAGTGCAGCTGAGCGGCAGCCAAAGTAGGAGATAATCTAGGACTAGGAAGACTAGCATCTTGAGCGGCTACTACGTCAACAGACGGCCTCGAATGTCGAAGATGGCGGGTGGAATGCCGGAGCATGTCCTCAGTGTCGGTTAAAGGCTCTGCGTCGGCATCAGTGATTGGCGGTGTCGCCACATTGCTGCTGAAAGTCAGGTTCGACTCGCTCGGGATCGGGCTGGCAACATCAGATTGAAGAGGCTCTGGGGAGTTTCTAGTGCGGCTGAGTTGCAGATTCCGAGTACGAGACGATGTTGGTTGCTCCACACTGCTGGTCTCTACTATCTCAGATGAGTCTGGGGTTGCGAGAAAGCTCGAAGACCCTCGGGTCTGTCTCAGGGATGGGTGCTGAACAGACGAGCTGCTGGCTCCTGTATTGGTGCTCCCGTGGGCTATCGACCGACGAAGTTTATCTGACACCGCCTTAAGGTGCGCGTTTCGTGCTTGTCGGCGCTCGACAGAGGGCTCGGAGGTTGCTCCCTGCGAGCGAGTTTGTCGAGAGCGGCGAGGGTATGCTTCCGAAGGCGATACTGAGGACGGGCGTAGGACTCGATTTGAGGTCGGAGTGCCATGGCGGAATGACTCTGACTTGGTGGCGTTACTAGTGAAGGAGTCTTCGGATATTTGTTTCGAGGACTGTTGCGAGGGCGGCTGGTGATGCGTGATTAGAAACCTCCGTCTTATAGAACAAACAGCAGTCAAAGGTAGTAAAAACAAGGGTTAACTCACGATGGTGATCACATCTGTGTCTATGGATTCGGCAATATCCTCCTCGAAGGGCATATTATACGAGAAGTCGGCGATCTCAGGAGGTGCGGGCTTCAGGGCCAGAGGGTACTCTTTGGAATCGAGGCATTCGAGAGGTGTAGGATTTCGGACAAATACATGTGGAAACTTGCGTGTGAGGCGAGTCGTTGTCGTTACAGTCTTGGTCTCCACACATTCACTCATCTCGAGTTGAAATCGTCTCGGGCTCTCTTGGCCGGTCTCGGCTACGTTCACGGCAACAGTCTGTGAGGGCGTCTTCGATAGCCGAGTCTCTCCAGCAGGGCTTCCAGGAACGGGCGTCATTATGTCGAGTGATTCTGCTGGTCGGAGGGAAGGACAAGGAAGATCGAGGATAAAGAGGGAGGGAGTCCTGTCAAGTGTCTGGTCTAGAGATGGGACTCGTGGACCAGGCGGCACAACGGATGCTAGGCCAAAATGCCGCTATCCAGATAACGGTTCCAAGGGGATACAAACAGCCTCGACGGCTGACGGCTGGTGGTGTGTTATGAGTCTCGTTTCAGCGGATGCCAGGGACGGCAGCGTGTTCACGGGCGATGCGTAGGATTGCCGGGTCCGATACGAAAAAAGGGACCACGGTGAGAACCAAGACGCGCCCAAAATCCGGAAGAGAAGGAAACAATCATAAAGAAAAGGGAAGGTATTTGTCGAGGACTGCACCAGGATGTGATGCTATCACCGCGTATCAAGCCGCCTCTTGGTCGAGGAGGGGGTTGATTGTGGGCTGCGGTGGTTGGTAGCGTTGTAAGGGAACGGATTCTCAGGTCTGAGGCAGTAGAACCGGGAATGGACGTGGGTGGAGTGGTGGAGTGATGGGCAAGTATGGATGTGGAGCGGAGCCCAAGGCCGAGAGAAAGGACAAGGACCAACCAACAAAGACAAGTCACCAGCGGGCGAAATGTCCAGCCAAGTACAACGGTACCTACCTCTGGAAGGCGCTGTGGTGGTCTGTGCTCAACTGTCAACTGCGCTGGCCCTTCCTTCTCCTCTCCCAAGCGCCTGTCCCGGATTCTCCTTCTGGCGGCCCCGACCGACCAACATGCTTTTTCTCTTGGAATTTTCTTCCCTCGACCTGGGGGCTTCGGCAACTGGCTTATGCCTGCCACTGCCTCGATCGGCATTGCCCTGCTTAAAGGGAGCGGTCGTGGTTTTCTTTTTTTTTTGTTCCTTTTTTTGCCTCTATTAGATGGTCCCCGCCCAGCTGTCTTGCCATTGTCATCCCTTGCTTGCCTCCAAGTTAGCTCAGGGAGCATGCGCTGGCCTTGGCATCAGCCACCGGGATAAATAAGGCCTCTTAGATTAAAATCGAGGGGATCGTGGGAAAGGATGCAATCCACCACCGAATCACGATGCAGACCCCAGCTCCGCTCTACTAGATGCGATTTTGGCACGATGACTAATACATGTACTCGGGCTGGTCGTGACAGCCAAAGTTCACGCTACGTCATTGGACGCGAATATCATTCTTTCAGGTGAACGGCCGAGGCTCTTTTTTAAAAAAAAAAAAAATTAGGTCTGTCCAGAGAATGGCATAGTAGATTTTCCGGGGTAGACGACG